TGAAATAACTCAACTTAAAAATGCTCATATCTTGCTATAAAATTAAATTATCGAAACAACCAAAAAAATAAGTAGATGATAATAAGTTCTTCAGTTCAGTTAATTTGAATATTAATAAATAATCTCAAAAGCTTATAATAACACAAAATTGGAACTGCTGAATGAAAATTTGTGTGTTCTACGTCTATAATATGGAGCACAAATGCATGCGAATGTCTTCTTAATATTAAAATTATGTTAATATTTATAAATGATATTTATTATTTTTTTTTAAATTATTAACCAGTAGATAATATGTTTTTAACATTAAACATTTTTTTAAATGAATTGGATCTGATTACATTTTTAATAATTTTTAAAATGTTTTAAATAAAAATGAGTTCAAATTTTTACACGAGTAGGTATTGTTATGATGGTATTTATCTTCTATATTTTCTACCCACCAACAATATTTAAGTAACACAAAAGTATCTAAAAAACTATTTGTTGTATTTTAGACAGTTTAGGTCACATAATATTTTCTGGTTCGTTTCATTAATTGTTATACAATATTCATAAATCCAAAATTAACTGTAAAATGTAAATAATTTTAATGTTAATAAAAATGATTTACAAAATCTGGAATCAATTTATGAATAATATTTCTAGAATTATAGAACACTATTTAAATAAAACATGACATTTTTCATTGTAGGGAATAAATTCAAATTATAGTATAACTATATAATATGATAAATAATAATCAATAACTTATATAGATATAATATAATTAATTTTAAATTGGAATTTTGTATTAAGATTTAAGACTAATATTATAATATATTACCTATTTATAGTCATATGTTCACAATAATTATTCGGTTTTATTTAAAATGCATAAAACCATGTATTATAATATCAATTATACAGTTAAGTACTATAGCTATGTTATATAAAAATTAAACTAATTACATTATACTTAATTAATAAATAAAACACTTATGAAGTGTTGACCAACTCTTATTAGTTAAACGATAATAATTTGTTCTTGTTAGCAAATATTTAATATCTCTTCAATAGACACAATAATTGAATCATAATATGATATTGTTGACTGATATTTGCTTAAAAGATTTTATTTTTCAATAAGTATAGGTATCTTAAATAAATGACAAATAGTATTTAATATAATATAGGTAATAAGTAATAATAAAATACTCAACAAATAAAATTATATGCTTTATCTGCGCTAAATATTACAAAATACAGATAAAAATATTATAAAAATTAAAATGGTAAATATTTGCTATGAAATAATTAGGGAAGCTACACCCTCCTCGAGTTTAAATTAAATAATAACCAAATATCTAATCCCTAGATCAAATGCCAAAGCAAGCATTTTATAAGAATTATTTTCTATCATACAAATCATGTCTATTGTTTACACCTATAGATACCCATGTAAATTATACTTACAATACACATATACGACAGGAAGATATTATCACTAAATGAGTATAGGCTATGGATATGTGCCAACTTAATTTATTAATTATAAGACCATATAAGATATCTATGCTCAATGATATTATACTTATGAATAAAATATTATAACAATAATAATTATAACTGTCAATGTATATTGTAGGTACGATTCTTCTAGCAGTGTTGTTACAATGCAAAAATACGTACTTGACACCGTCCTTATAAAATCATCTTACGTGAATACCAAATATACCATTGGTTGTGTACATGTAAAAACAATTAATTAATGTATTAAGCGCACAAACATCAGATGAATATTAATACATATCATTCGCAAATGTTTTTATTTGAAATCGAAGGATTTTGCGTTTCGAAATTTTAATGTTGTTAATTTAAAGACCCCATTATTTTCGCATTCATTACTTCTCATGTCCGTGCAATAAAATATAGTGATGTCGAAACCTAAAACACTATCGTTTTGAATCCGATAATATATATCAAATATTTTATCATAACTCTGTTACACTCAAAAACTAGTACTTAAGCTTAAATTATTTAATCATAATAATTAATTATAATTTATAAGTATAACGTCATGTGCATAATAATATTCTGATTTTTTAGTATAATTTCAAAAGAATATTTTTTCTAACCCTAAGAATAAGATATAAATCAAATATATTTTAAATAATACATAATATATTTACCTAAGCCCTATGTCATTCAGTTTCACGTTCTGAGGAATTCAAATGTTATTCATCGAAGTCATTTACCTAACTCTTATCTTAACAGATAACTATTATATCATATATTAACGAAGAGTTTGTTCGTTTTTGGTCGTCTATGAAATGTGAATGATGTAAAATATAATTACTTTGATACGCAGTAAAATAAACTCTAGTCTCCAAGATTAAGCTTATCGAAAAACGATATAATAAATTACATATAAGTTCTAGAAGTTTCCAGTTAATTATTATTATGATTTACCTAATATAATAATATAATATATATATAATATCATTGTTATATTTTTTTAATACTTTAATTTTCAATTGGTTTCCGTTGTTAGAGAATTACAATGTTTCAATAACAATTTTAAGCGTCGCTTTTAAATAGCTAGTAATAATATAGTTACCTACTTATCGTGAGTATATGTCATGAACACACGTAAAATACTTTTTTTCTTTAAACAAGTAGTTTTAAATAATTAAAAAAGGCGAGTCTTATAACGTTATAACTAACTATTATACCTGATATAACATATATTATTAATCAAATTATATATATATATATATATGTACATATGGAATAAAATATATAAGTTCCTAGATATATGAATTAATTATAAATATTTTAATATATTATATTAATTACGTAGATAATTTTCGTGGAACAGTGTTTGATTTTTACTACATTCGTCCAGTTATCCATGTCTTAATGCTCTTAAGTCTAGACTCTAAAATGTCTAGATGACTATAAATTTTAAGGAACAATCATTAATCAAATATCAATTAATGACTTATAACGAAAAAAATATTTTCACCCATATAAATTTATTAATAATTTAATTTTTATTAAGTGAATTCAAATAAAAATAAAACAATCACGGGATTTTTTTTTATATTGTTGATTACAAAAAAAATAATGGACCCTATTAAAAATATTTAGATCATCGTGTTTAAATAATAACTTGATTTTTTTTATTAAAATTTCAACAGAAAATACTTTTCATTTCGACAAAACTAATAACACCTTGGCAATTATAATATAATATTAAAGGCTAACTTAAGTTACCCGTGTTTATAAAATAAATTTGGTTTTAATTTTTAAAATGTATAATCACCATTCACCATGATATTAGAATATAAAAATGATACCGGATACAATTTTTATAAGTAAGCTAAGTGGGTAGTGTTTTGGAAAAGATAAAAGTCAACTATGTGGATTATTAATACAATAAGTAAAATAATGACGTCTGTTGAAGTTTTGTTGGTTAGTACTAATGTCTAATAAATGTATAAATCGCAATAAAAAGCCTAATACAATATTTTTTTTAATGTGTATTTTATAAGTATTGATAAGAGCATTTTCTTGTCAAACATTACAAGGTGAGGTTTTATTTGTTTAAATTAAATAAACCGCTATTTCTAATATAGTTCTAATTATTACAATATAGATAGATAATATACTACTGTAATTAATACATTATTATAAAATTTAATAAAATGCATATAATTTACATAGTTTTGTAAAAACAATATATTATATTATAGCAAAGTAATATCATATTTTTTAATATGCTTGTATTATACCTATATAACATGTATTACCTACATAAAGTTATGTTCACTACTGCGAAAACTCGCCAATAAACAGCAAATTGACAATATGAATAGATTTTTTCTGTCTGAATTCTTTATAGGTACCGCTTTGTACATATTTATTATTCAGTAGTATTCATAAAATGATTTATGCTGCAATTGTTCAAAAATTGGTTACAATCCTGGAACTAATCGTAATGATAAACACGCTGTTAAAATGTCACGTTTTCTATCACAACATTCGCTTTTTGAAGTTGTACGATACATAATATAGGATTTAGAAAAGATTCTAATGAGATCGATAGTATCGATGGTATCTCTGCATTCAGAAAAAAAAATATACATTGCGTGCTGGAGTCCTGAACGGGTATTTTTATTTTTATACACTTATGTGCCACCGATAGGTTTAATTCCCGCGGCAGAATACTTATTATTGTGTATAAGGTATATTATATGTAGATAGGTACTGGTACACGTAGCGGGGTGCAGAGCACGTCAAGGCCGGTTCAATCATTTTGATGCGTTTTGTATACAAACACATGTATTTTTTTAAATATTTTTTTACAAGTAGCAACAATAATAAAAATCGTATAGTACCACAATTAGTTTTTATGCGATTTTGATGAATGTCGTATAATATAGGTATATAGTGCAAAATATATTATATTACCTATACAGATACTTCATTTTACTATATTATAAATTGCGGGTCACTGTGCGATATTCATCTACCTGGTTGAAAAAATCAAATAACGACGAAATCGCGTGTCCATGTATTAATATATTGTATATAGACCAGCGGCGCCGCGAAGACATCGAAAATATCATTTCGTCTCGGTAGGACATCGTTTCCTAATTCCTATTTATAGTAAATGTGTATTCCATAGTATAAAAATATAACTTAATATAAGTATATTATATAAGCTATATGGCGTATACGACGATAATGATATTTTCTTTACAATGAAATGCCATAAAAATTTATTAAAACTCTAGAAACTACCGCGCTTCCTGATTCCGGATTCGTGGGACAGGTCCAGGATGTAAGTTAAGGCGGACGAGTGGTTTTGCGAGGAAGGTTAGGCCACCGTGTACAGGATATCTCGACGAACGTGCAATAATAAAATAATAACTAGATTGCGGAGAAGCGAGAAAGAAAATACTGCGACGACTGATATACAGGCGCGTACGATATATATTAAGCCGCGACATGGTAGACTAGTCAGTTAGTTCTGTGTTGACTGCGGTTCGAGAAGGTTGACAGTTTTCATTTTGGCTCGCCCGAAATCGGTAGACTACCACACTTAGCGGTTTTGGATTTCTGATTTCTATTCGATTCGATCAAGGTGACTGCACAAGATCCGATCGAGAGAACATTTTGAGCCTAAACCAACAGCTACCCTTTTCCCCGACCAAATACGACATATACAACGATATAGCAACCCGTTTTCGAATCGCAACGTACTAAGCGCATTATTTGTCAGGTATTATAATTTTAATTCACAAAAACATAATATTATAAATTATATCATACAGTTATTATTATTCATTTGATGGTATTATTGAAACAAATTACCCGTTTCATCAGTGCAGTAAATCGTACGCATCTGATATAATAGATATACTTATTGGTACCTAATTAAGTATAGGTACCTACGTGAAATATTTTAAAGACTCCTATTATTTTTTCATTCCTTCGTAAAGTGAATCAATATTTTTTTAGGTTTTGATGGATTTAAGAACGATTAAATTGTATATTAGGTATTAATTAAATATTTAAATGTAATCTTAGATTATTGTTCCAACTATTTAATGTTTCTAGACCGATAAGTACCCATGGGTAATAAAATAAACGCGACAATTGTGTGTGGCGTTTAATGACGATTAGACAATTAACTTAGCAATGCCGATACTTTTGAGTTAATATCAACAACACTATTCGATCTGAGCACCGGTCACTTCGAGGACTCTTGAATAATTAAATTATAAGGAAGTCCGTTTACAATTATAATTTACATTATTAAATGTTATATTAAATTACTACTTGGTACCTCGATGCGTATATATGTTTCAATACATAAGATATTAAATTATTAATTAATACCAGAAGTACATATATTGTTCAAATAAAATACTCATGTATATAAATTATTACCTATAATCTACGTATACGTTTAATTTAATCGGTTTTTTTTTTTTAATACGTTATTATTGTACAAATTAACGATCTAAAACACGTATAACCAATAAAAACTTACCAATATTTTTTTTTTTATTAACGATTGTATTGTAAATTTATTTTGCTTCTCTTTGGTTTCAAAGTCCACGCATAGAAAACTGATAAATTTTAGAACGATTGTCCCTCCCTTATTTTAATTTTAAAATCAATAAAATCTTTATTTTATTTTTTAGTAAAAATATAATCATTTTTTTTTTTTGTACGATAATTAGTATCTCGTAAATCACAATTAATTTAAAATCTAAAAGTTATAATTTATGATACATACCTACCTAATTAATATTTTGAGAAAAGTATTACAATATTTTGTATTAAAGTAGATATAAGTTCATTGCATAGAAATGATTCTTTTATACATAACTTCCTGTCATTAAAACAATATAATTTTCATATTAACATCAATGACAATACAAATAGTATCTACCTGGTACATTTTTTTAATAAGCGTTTTAAATATTAATATTCATCAGGAAGTTTATTATGTAATTATTTTCCACCTGTTGTATAATAAGATGATTTTATGTTTTAAATAAAAGGTGAATCGTTCTTAAATTTTTTAATATTTGTTAAAAAAAACATGTAGATATATATATATATATATACATTAACGCAACACGTACGTGCTATACTATTAAATTGAATACATGTTTAAATCAATTGTTCTAAAAGTCCTTTACAAACATTTTGAATAGGCAAAGAGTATTAGTTTCTTCGTCCATGGTGGGTATCTATACATAATATTATACATTATACAGTCATCTTGTCAACTTCACGTAATATAACATATAAAAAAACAACAAAATTAATTAACTGGCTACTCGCTGATGTAAAAAAAAAATTATGGTTAAATAGTATATATTTATTTTTGCACGTTTGTATAGTGAAATTTATCAAAAATATTTTGATATAAACGTATACTTCTAACCTACCTATTTTTGGTTACCATATTAAGATAAAATATTTATAATATTAACATAGCTCTAAGTCTAATAATGTTTGAAATCATTAAATGTTAATAAACCGGGGAAAAGAATAATTTATTTGTAATCACATGGGCGTATTTCTGATGCAGATCATTATATACATAATTATAATTACTATAGATTGGTTATAAGTAACCACTATTTCGTACGTATGTAAAAACTGTTTTTTACATTAAAATTCAACAGAACAATGTTCTCAACTATTAAGTGAAACATTAGTTCGATGACTTAAAGTTGTTTTATTTTTAAGATTCATGATTTTTTTTTTTTTTTTTTTGTGTGTATGTGTTTAGATTTACTGTAATTAAAACAATTTAATATTCATATATAAATGATAATACAAATAGTAAATAGTAAATGTTTTTAATTTTATTAAAATGTTAAATATTGAATATTCATCAGGAAGTTTGTTTTACAATTATATTTCACATGTCGTCCAATAAGATGATTTTATGTTTTAAATAAAAGATACCTAGTTAAACTGCAATGCAACGTTATTATATTATGACTGCTTTTATATAGAATTTGATAAATACTCTATATAATAACGTTGCAATACCCAGAGGTAGGTATTTTAAAAATTATAATTCGGTAGTATTATCTTACTTCAAGGATTACTGGTTTTAACTCTTTTTAATTTATTAGTAAACGATGCAGAACAATTATTAAGCAGCCATATTTAGACTATTAGTAGACTATTAGATCATTGACGGCGACATAGGCTATATACCTGTATATTTTAATAATGATAGAACTTGACCCTCGTCGAGTTGTTGAACATTCACCGTGATCGATCCACAGGTTCATTGATATCGAGTTCTGGAAAGACATATCTAAACGATGAATTCTTGGTTTTTCATGTAGGTATAATATGTATGACACATTGCGAAAATAAGTAGTTTGATATTTACATGCAAATCGTATTACTAATTGCTGTTGACACGAGAATTCAAATAATTCAAACGCAGACCGTAAAAAATATAGGTAATATTTTATTTGTACCCATAATATCTACTGCAATATATATGGATAATAATATATAACGTAGTATTTTATCTTATCTGAACGCTGTTTTTGCGCGCAGTTTAAACAGAAATGAAATCCTTTGGTCTCGGCCAAATGAATAATTGCACATCTATTGCCTTACAGGGAATATGTTTGACATCCATATGGAACACATACTCCACATTTTCTATTACTCGCAGTGTATTTCGTACCAATTATTCAATGGAAAGTTGTTTAGACGTTACCATTTCTTCATAGGTAGTACCACATCATACATAATATGCGTATTATTTATTTATTGCGTGGTGGTTATTTTCTTTGCCTACGGATTATCAAAAAAATGTTATTGTTAATACAATTATAAAATATTATGTACTTGTATTGCATCTGTCATTAAAATCTTTCTCTTTCGATAAACAATCGACGTCATTTGCACACAATATGCTTGTAAAATATAATCTTAGTTTTTTTTTCAACATTAATTGCTTATTATAAAGATGACATCCTTGGCTACTTTGCACTTAGCTGCAATAGGTCGATGACTGATTCAATACACCGAAATATATAATTATTATCTCCTATTTTTCGATATAATAAGTATAAATAATTTTTAATTTTTATTTATACCATAAGTCTGTTGCTTATATTATAACTAATTAGCAATTACTATTTTTCTTTAGAAGATGGCTAGAACAGGTATCTACAAACATTTCCGTTTGGTTTTACCGCATTTGAATTTTTTCTTTGTGGTTTCGCATCTAAATATTTTAATAGTTCATCGAATAAAAACGCTAAATATTCTTTAAAAAATAATAATTATAACAAATTGACACTGAAAAATTTGTATACAAAATATTAAATAACACTAGGTAGGTGGGTATACATTTTGCTATCCAACTGTGCGAATCACATATGTTAAAAATACATTTCGTTTATTATATTAATTACTTTATATAATACAATTATCATTTTATAATATTGCTGAAATTATATTTTAATTATATCCTCAATCACCCGATTAATTTGTTGTGATTTAAAAACACTAATTGTACTCGAAACCTCAAAATAAGTAGGATACATTTTAATCATAATTATTTTGAAGTCTAATTAGGATACAGTATTTCATAAAAGTCAAAGATAGTTAAGTTATTTGGAGCATTTGTTCGTCCAAGGACATTTTAGGGTTAAGATTTCCCCGATTAATTATGATACAAAAATTATAACAAATGTCTACGCAAACTCGAGGAATATTATTATTTATTTCATTCACGATGCACTTGATTGTTTTTTTTTTTTAACGTGGATTAAACATGAATTTGATCGATACTACTAATATAAAAGTACATCTTCAATAAAAAAAAGATATATTCTTCATCATTTTAGACGATTATGAATAATTATGTAACTATAACATTGTTAATATAAATCACCTTCATATGCGATGAAGAAGTAATGCAATTTAATATTTTGGTTTTATTATATAACATTAAACTAATTGGATTTTAATTTTTTTTTTTTTTTTATATTTAAATTATATTGTTTTAGAAATAATTCAATCGACAAGAACAGTTAGTAACTCTTATCGTAAAAATATTATTACAATAATATACAGTTACCCAAGAATTACAGTGAATAATTTAATGGTTATTTTTATCATCGTGTAAATAATCTCAGAGGTCATTCCATTTAAATGTTTATTACATACATTATGTTGTTTATTTTATTAGATGTTATATTTGTATTATTTGTTTTATTATTTACATTTGAATTTAATGATTTAGTTTCAAATAAAATGAACAACTTAGAAAATATACTATACAATTTAATCAATATAATATTTATAAGCCATTATTAACTATTCTATGTATAATAAATTAATTTAAAAAGCTGAAATTATATGTTATTATAGATTATGACAGTAATACAATTTATATAAAAGAATAACTACTACTTTTTTGGGGGTTAGACAAAAATTAATTTTTTTTACATTACATTTTTAATTGATAACATCAAATTTAATTAGTTACAAAATAATTTTAAAAATGTATAAAGTTGATAAAAAAATAAAATTATATTCATAATTAGATATCTTTTTACATTTTATTAATGTTAGTTTCCATTTAAAATCGAATATTTTCTTAAATTATAAAAGATATTGAAAATAAATGATTATCCAGTAATATATTTTATATAAGTTTAGAAAATAATGTGACCTTAAAATAATTTAAGTAGATATTTCAAATTCAAATAAGTTAAACATAAAGAGGTAATATTAGTATGATTAACATTCTTTTTTTCAGAATTATATTAAATCCACGTAAATTATATAATAATTAATAGATAATCATTATAATATAATATATTATTCTATAACTAATGTAGAGACACTAACCTATAACCAACCATAAAATCGCGTGTTATCCTAATAGGTACATTTAGCACGCGTTAAAAACACTAAGATTAGATTGATTGATCCCTATTTATGCACAAATATAAAAACCAATCTAATTTTTTAAGTGTTTTGACAGTTGTATGAATTAGATAAGTTTTCACTTCAATTTAATGTAATACAAAACTACACTTGAAATTTACATTGTTTGCATTAAATAAAGATAATATTTAAAATATAAGTTATTAAAATTGGGATTAGTTTCTGATAATATGCAAAATTATTGTGCAAAAAAAGTATTAAAAAGAATTACAGTTTTTAATCTAAATTAGTGTCTTAAGCTATTCGGCATGTAAAGTTTTTTATTTTTTATGGTTATAAACAATTGATTTATAAATTAGTAATTAATTCATAATAACAGCGAACACTAAATACGCTCATTTGATCACTGAACTACTTAAAAAATATCAATAGTAAGTAATATTCTTTATATTTTAAATTTAAATCATTTTTATTATTATTATTATTAATATGAAATTTGTTTTAAATTAAATATTTTTTTTTAGTTAATATTCTAAGATAAGTATATATTTATTTTTTATATGATATATGATACATGCGATTACATCTAAAGTTTATTAGTTGAAAATTAGATTAAACATTAAATTTTAAACCAATATGTTTAATTCAAGTAAAGACTATGATTATCACACGCTAATACTATATTAATTGAAGTAAATTGAATTTATAATATTTCGTAATAATTAAAGACTATAGAAATATCCAACTATGTCAAAATTTCCAATAATTATTTATTAATACATCTCACAATGTATTAAAGCTCGAATACTTTATTCATTTTTAGTACTAAAGTTATATTTCCCTAATTTTTCAAAAAAAAAAAATTTATTATTATTTATTGAATGCATTACATTTTATTTTTAAACGAATTTAATTATATTAATTTATTACAACCAATTAATATATTAGTAGAATAGTCATTTTAAGTAATCCCTAATCAAGTAGGTACTTGTTGTGTTTTTAGATTCTTACAATTTTTTGTAATATTAAATTTACATAGTAAAATTGTGTTTTAATGGTATGTTACAATTTTTTATGTACTAAATTAACACTAAAAGGACCATAATTATTAATCGTGCTGCAAGTACTTGATGTTTAAGATTGTGTACTTCTATCAGAATAAATAATATTTCCTGTTGGAGAATTTTGTATTTATTTAATTACAGAATTTCTAATTTTCATTATTTTTATAAATATATTTTTTTACAATGGTCCAGTATTGTCATTAATAATAATTTTCCACATTCATAAACACAATAATTACGATCGGCTATGCGGTTCGTTAAATTTGTTAAAAACAATATTTGAACTAACATAATAAAGAACTATTTCATGATGATTATGTTTTTTATAATATTTTAACATTTATTTTAAAAATGTTAACTATACATTTTTTTATATCTATTAGGTAGGTACACTCTTTTATAATGGCATTGAGTCTCGTCAACACACATGTTTTCCTCGTTACTAAATGCGTTATTTATTCATATATTTTAAAAGATATCGATAAAATTATATGTTAGTGTGCATAGTTACTTATTCGAAAACTTGTTTGAAAATTAAATCTATTAATAAATCTTTTAAAAAATGTAAACAGTGTACTTAAACTTTGACCTAAGAAATCAATATTCTTTTCGTATCATATAATATTATATTATGTTCGTATAATAATAAAACAAAAATTATGAAATCCATCTCGTTCTTTACCTTTATCCATATTATGAGTACAATAAATAACCCTTTTGAATAATTCAAAACTTTCTTAAATAGAACAACATAACATATTGTATGAACTATATCATAAAATAATAAATTTATTTTCAATTGAAACGAAGGACTAAACACTGTAAAATACATTTTAAAATAATAATAAAAAAAAAAATGTCTATTCTTTATTTTTTATTTTGGCATTACAACAATCTTATTGAATTACAACGTTTTAAATGACCTTCAAAATAATTCCAACAGTGTTTTATATTTTATGCCAAGATACTGTTGAGCTAGCACATAATACACATAAAAAATAACATTATTCAAATATTTCCACGCACTATTGATATATTGGAAATTTCCTTGCAAATTTTTACATTCACATATTAACACAATACTCACACGATAATTAATTGGATATTAAATAAGCTTAAATTTTAAGCTTATCTAATAGAAAGTTTTAACTGTTTATTGTCCATGTACATTAAAATGATATTCGAATGATATGATTTACTCGAATCATATTTTTACAAAACACTTTTTTATTAACGCATTCACGTTTTTCAGTTTTTTTCATATGGGTACAGTTGTTGATAAAATATTTTTTTACAATTAGTCCAAATAGTCGAGACATTTTAGCTTAAATATGTTCTTCAATTATACATTTTAAAGGATGTAAATTCACATTTATTGAACACATTGAATATTTAAAATTTATAAAATTCTAATAAATATTTGAGTAATTATGTGATTCATGAGGTTGTTTAATTTATAAAAAAAAAATATAATCTTAATTTTATTATTCTACATGAATTTTTTAAACTTATAGTTTAAATTTAAATTTGTTATGAAAAAAATATTATGCTATATTATTATGTTATACAATATTACAATATCATACAAGTATAAACAAAAAGTTTTACTATCTCATTTAAAAAAAAAAAAATATGCTTATAGATTAATGTATATACCAATAGCTACATTATATGTATATATAATTGTATAATGTATATACAACTGATTTAGATATAACAGATTAGGTTACTACCATTATTAAAACCTACCTACCTACTTGGCAAATTGATATGTTTATGTTTGAAAAAGTAATGTAAATTTTTATTTACTTAATATCAAAACATTTTTTTTTTTAAACTCATCTTATACCTAGTATGCAGTATTATTATTAATCACACACGACGAGCTTCAAAACAATAAAGCATTATAATGATGAATAGCAATCTTCGTGACCTATAGCATACCTAATATATATTATATCTCATGTACAATATAGGTAGGTATTGCGTTTATCGGTCACGGCATCATAGCAGGGTTCAGTGATATGAAATTTTTTTTAGAAGTAAGACTAATTATTTGACTTACTTGTCCACCTCCTAAAACCCGATGTTAAGATATTAATTGTCATGTTCCTAAATACATGCCATAGACAATATTAAAATACTAGTTAATATTAATTTATTATCCATTGACCGTTGCTCAACCATCCGTCATAATAATAAACTCAGATGTCGCTACCACTTGATTATATCTGTCTCTTTAGCCACGAAGTTGGTTGGACTTAATATACATGTAGGCTATAGAAATGATCTGTATTTATAATGGCTAAATAGTAAATACAGCTAATTAATAGTGATTGAATAAAAATTGTGTGTCCTGTAAATCAGACATGTTTTAAATTATTTAATTAAAATTTTAAACACCTATCGAAGAATAAACCGATAAATCGAATTTTAAATACTGTCTGATAAACAAAACAAATCATATTTCAATATGATAATTTTATTATTATTATATTATAATAGTTTATTTTTATTCTATTACAGGAATATTATTTTAAAAGTATCAATTAAGTCTCGTTAAAAAATGGCTTTAGAAAAAATTGCTATGTCCCAGCTAGCGATGGTTGAGGAACAACAAGAACGAATTGGAAATCAAAAATGGACTCAATACTTAGCTGCCTTTATTGGTAATTCCTAAAAAAAATAAAAATAATGTGTTACAAATCAATTGAATGTTTTGTTTATCTATTCACTTAATTAGCGACGATTGGTGGGTTCATCGCGGGTTCAGCCCTAGGATGGACAGCTCCAGCCGGTCCAATGATGGAAAACAATCAATATTCATTCCCTATTTCAAATGAGAATCTCGCGTGGATTGGAGCGTGTATGCCACTTGGTGCCATGCTTGGATGTCCGGTTACCGCTGGCCTAGTCGACAAATTGGGACGTAAAAACATGATGCTAATGTTATCTGTCCCAGCACTCATTGGTTGGGCAATGATAATTTGGGCAGAATCTGTAAGTACAAACAAATATATGAAAACATTCATTTTTAGCATGTAAACCCTTTAATAAAATATGATTCTTCAAGGTGGTATGGATCTGTGCTGGCAGACTTTTGACCGGATTCTCTAGTGGATCGTTGTCTGTTATTGTACCCATGTATACTTCTGAAATAGCCGAAAAGGAAATTCGTGGTACTTTGGGTACATATTTTCAGTTGCAAGTCACTGGAGGAATTTTATTCACCTATATCGTAGGATCTTATGTAAGTTTACACTATATTGTACAATATATATTCTTTGAAATATTCGATATGTAATGATTAATAATATTAATATTATTATATTTACAGTTCAATGTATTTGGTTTGACTATAATCTGTGCCATCATTCCAATCGTATATGTGGCTCTGATGGTTTTAATGCCAGAAAGTCCAAACTTCCATCTCATGAAAGGAAATGTTGAAAAAGCTCGTTTATCTTTAAGATATTTCCGCGGACCATATGGCACAGTGGACCAAGAATTGTCTGTAATGCAAGACTCGTTGGCGAAGGTATATAAATATATAGTAATTTAATTTATCTTTAAAATAGCAAATAATCCGTAAATATTTTATTGTAGACTGAAAGAGAAAGAGTTCCGTTAATGGAAGCATTCCAAACAACTCCAGCTAAACGTGGTTTGTTTATTGGTCTTGGAGTTATGCTTTTGCAACAATTTTCTGGATGCAATGCTGTCATATTTTACGCTACGTATATCTTTAAAGTAAAACTACAATACTTATTAAAATATTGAATTAGTGAATTATTTATTAAGCTGCTTGTTGTTTATAGGAATCTGGAAGCGCAATGGAACCAAATATGTCCACAATTATCGTTGGTATTATGTCAGTAATTGCCACTTATGTTTCTACACTGATCGTTGACAGATTAGGAAGGAAAATTCTCCTTTTGAGCTCAATTATTGTCATGGGAATTTGTACTTTGCTAATTGGTGGCTTCTTCTTAATGAAGGCTAACGAACAAGATGTGTCATCAATTGGATTTATTCCACTTGTATCTATGTGTGTATTCATAATCCTGTTCTCTCTTGGTTTTGGTCCAATCCCATGGATGTTGATTGGTGAAATCTTCCCAGCACAAATCAAAGGTAAATTACCTAATCTTTTTAACAATATTCAACACGCATGTGTACTTAATATTTTGATTTAAATTATTTAGGAACCGCTTGCTCGGTCGCCTGTATGGCCAACTGGTTTTTCGCTTTCATCGTCACGAAATTCTTTTCGTCGTTGGTATCTGCCATTCATATATACAATACATTCTGGTTATTCACATTTTTCTGCGTTTTGGGTACGTTCTTTGTAATTTTCGTCGTTCCTGAAACCAAAGGCAAGACTATGGATGAAATTCAAGAAATACTCGGCGCGGGCAATGATCTTACACCACCAACACATGCCAATGTTTCCATCGACACCAAAGGAAAATACTAAATCAGACCTTACTAAAGGATTAGAAAAACGTTTCATCTCTACCTTCCCGAATAGTATAAACATCAATGTGTTATTGAATCAATAATATGAATTTATATAAATGAATTGATAACTGTATCTGTTGAAAGGTGCTATCTTTTTATAGACAATTATTTATTGAATAATTATTAGTGAAATCATTATCAAATATAGTTGCAGGAAGGCAGACTTGTAAATATTATCTCTTTTTTACAGCATAATATGATTTATGGCTGTGATCGTGATGTATACTTTTACACTTAGACAATGAAAAACATTATAATAGCTTAAAAAATTATTTAATTGACAGCAATGTATTTATCAATTTTTATATCATCATATCATTGTATTTTATTTATGAACATTTACTTAATCATTTCATTGTTATAATACTGATCAATTATATTAATTTTTGATTTATGTTTTTTATTTTTATTTTTATTTTTTTTAAGTGTAAAGTCACCAGAAACGTTGTTTAATAACCACTGTTGAAACCATCAACTTGGACGTTGACATGTTTTGGTGATTTGAATCTGTGATACTTTGGAGTAACTAGCTATTTTATACTATGCTAAATGTGTTTAACCAAACGAATTAGAGTCCAATGCAATATTAGTTAATAAGTGCCTACTTATTTAATTTTTTTTTTAAGTTTTTAATTTATTATATGATTGTACTATGTTGTACCTACCAATAAAGAAATAAAACCTTTATTGAATAAACGTGATTTCTATTATTTAATATTATGAATTCGCAGCCAACCTTTATGGTTATACTCACAATTCACTTTGTATTTTATACAACACAATACACAAACAACATCCCTATTAAATTATGCGATATTACGATATTATAATATAGAGCAAATAGTAAATACTTGAAAAAAAAACCTAAATGCTTAGGTAAATTCAATGTTTAGGCATTTTCAATATATTATTTTCTTTTTTCAGCTATATAAACTATTTATAACTAACAATTTATATAAGTTTTTTTTAATAAAAATAACTGTTAATAAAAAAAATTTTCTCAGCTAAAAAACTTAAAAACTTAATAAAATATGATTATTTTTATGTTATAACTCTTGGGATTAAAAAAAAGTTGTGTGTGGGTAAATCAACAATTATTTTTTATGAGCGTTTGGAGTTTAAATTTTGAAAAAAATTGTGATCTAGAAATGATTAAACGATTTTATTATTTTATTATTATTCAAAAGTTTCAACTATAGATATTTAGATCTGAAAATTTAGTTAGTATTTACTAGTTGGTTAAATATAAAAATTCCCAGAAATCTTTTATACAATCATAAAAACTCACAAAATTTGGCGTAAAAACTGGATTATGTTTATAAATAATAATATTTTATTAAAATATTGTAAATATTTAAATTACTTTACTATTATAATGATAAAGTTTCAAGTTAAAATATATATTTTTTATTGATACAATTACATTACGGACAACATCTGGCAGTCGCGATATTCTATCAAATTTCCTTTGGCTTAATTATCGGTTTTATACTACGTAATTAAAAAGGCTCTTATTTTTGTTCTTTTTATGTTATATATTCAATTTTGAAACCCAAAACTCTAAAAGATTGATTTACACAATTTTTTATGGTTACGCTCAAGATTCAGCTGTTAACAGTCAACTTACTGTATAGAAAAACAGTTACTTAATTTCTTCTGTTTATATTTAAATGCACCGATCAGCATAGGTACCTAGTTATACGCTTATATAAATATGGAAGAAGTTAGAGAATGACATATTAATACCAACTTACTTCCCTACTATCTTAAGAATACTAGCTAGTAGATATGTAATGTACCTACAGATACATGTCTGGTTCAGATTATTTATAGGTCTCAAAATATCTAATATCTCTCGTTTAATTCTTATAAATATTAATGGCCTATAGATTTCAAAATTAAATTGTTATAATTGGTTTTAAATATTTAGATTTTACTTATAAATATGTACCTATGACTGTGTGAAATGTGAATGACAACATATCTTGAAAAGTCTCAAAACTTAAAGTAAGTAAGACAACAACTAATTTATGGAAAATTCTATAAATATATAAATTCAGTATTTTATATATTATATGTTATCATACATATATAATTAAAATGTTTTATTGATTATTACTAAAAAAAAAACAACACATTGTCTTAAAGAAATGAATATTTTTTTAGTTTTTATTTGTTTGTAATATAGGTGTGTTAATTAATATTAATAATAAGTATATTATAATTTATAACAGTATAACATTAGTTATTACACCTCATAAGTATAACAATCACTAACTAATGATGTTCTTTAACGACTTTAACATATTAATATTACATTATAGGCTCACGTATTATATTAACTATCTACCTACATTTGGATATATAATTTTAAAAAAATCAGTGCATTTTATTAAAATAAATAATAACATTTGAGTATTTATAAAATTATGAACTCAACTATTATTAACTATACTTAATAATTTATACGAAGTTAAAAAAAAGTAAATTTAAATTTAAATTTACAGTTATATGTATTAAGGGAATTGAAACTTGAAAGCAGTGATTTTCTATTTTTGAGTAGATTTTTAATTTTAACTTATAATAATTTTTAAAAAATTTATTAACCAGTATTTCTAATAATAATATTTAATAATGTCTTACAAAATTAGGGGAAAAGATAATGATAAAAAAATAACCACCAAAGTGTTATGGAGTTCATCGCTGTATTCGCTAATTTAGTCCAAAGACGGTACTGGATAGAAACAATATTGACAATAATATGCAATGGTATACGACGGACTGGACATAGTGAAACGTCGACAATAGGACCACTGTCCACTAGGTGTCTTGTTCATCGGCCGTACATTGGCGGTTGTCTATATTGACTTATACAAAATAAATAGGGAAGGAAACCACAGATATGTACGACATGTACCTATGAAAGAGACAAACTCACGAGATTTATAACTAATTTATTTATTTTAATAAATGGTGTTTAATATTGTAAAATTAAAATATATATATTATTGTATAATATAAAAAAAATTATTTTTATATTATTAAGTATTTTCATAAGTTAATTTTAATTTTATAATTGTTAATTATTATAGTCTATAGACAATAGTGGTATACCGTATTATTGGTAGGTACTATTTAATCTATACTTAAAATGAGGGAAGCGTGTCAAACGTAAAGATATAAAATTATACATGATTAATTTATATTAAAAAAAAAATAAAATTTATAATATTAAAAAATATAATAAATATATATATATTTTTATTATTTTTTTTTATCTATTATAATTTTTTTTAATTTAATTTATTTATTTATTTTAAAATATAAATGATACATGATTAATTTATACTTTTGTTATCTCTTTAGATTGTTTAAAATTTAAAATAATTAAAAGTTTTCAAATTTGATACAACAACAAATTTTGTTACTATATATTTAGTAAAATATATTTACTAATCAATATTTTTTACCAAGTAGTTGTCAAATATCTTATTACTTATTAGCTATACCTATTAAACTTTAAAGTTTAAACTATAGTTTTAAGTATATCCATACGTTTTAAAATGCATAATTTTCTATATACCTATACATTGGTGGCGGATACTCAATGCGCTACACATAGATCCGTGGTATAGAGATATAACCCGGCGCCCCGGAAAAACTCCTGAGGTGGTCTACACCAGACGGACATATATCGAACGGATCGGAGGCCAAACACGAAGAAACCAAAACTGTCCTTTTCAGGACAACCCGTGTAAAAACAGGTCCCCTCAAGCGCGCCTACCTAGGCCACGCCTATTCGAACAAATATTGCAAATTAGACACCACTTATTTGAGCGGGCATAAAAAATACAATATTCCTGTTCACCCCATAAAAATGTAATTTGTAAAAGTAATTTTGATGTGAAACATCTATAGCCGCACGTAAAACCGATTTCTGGCGTGGCGACGCATGCCGTGGCGACGCGTCGCCACGCTATATGATGGTATATACTATATAATATGATGGTAGTGTGTACGGTGTGGCGACGCGTCGCCATGCGCAATCGACTGTGCGATTCTCTTCCACTCGATCCGGCGTTAAGCCATCTCAATCCAATTATATCATGATAAAAAAACAGCATAATATTAATTATTATTATAATTAGTTAGTTTTATTTATTATAGTTATTATTTTATCATATCATTTATATCTCAATCCAAGAGAACCTACCACCAGATACGGAACAACAATAGATGCTGTATTTATTAGATATCTTGATAATGTTATGTCCAATACTTTTGTAACATACTTCAGCTAGCATCGACCAATTGTCACAGTAATACTGTCGTCAGAGGCAACATCGAATGTCACTATTACCGAAGTCACTGATTAAACGAATTAAGTAGTCACGATTTGAAATAAATTCGTAAATTTTTGTATTTAATGAAAATAAATGTTTATTAAATAAACAGTCATCATTATCTGAAAAAAAATCGTAATATTTTATTTTATCATTATGACATATTTAGTTCCTATCGCAATCTGTTCTTTTCTGCAATTACTATTACAAAATAATGTTGATGTTTCACACATGTAACCTAACACAAGGTTTTAAATGCAGACTTCAATAATTATTTTAGTTCCTTTGGCAATAATTTCATTGTGGGAGGCGACTATAATGCCAAGCATCAAAGTTGGGGTTGTCGCTCAAATAATCCTCGTGGCTGCGTCCTTCGTACTTACGCAAGTGCGAAAAACCTTCAGGTACTTGCCCCTCCGAACCCTACCTATTGGCCATCTTCTCCACGCAAAAATCCTGACATACTTGATATTTTTGTCACAAAAATTCCCTCTTGTCTACACTTCTCTGTTGTTAACCTCCTGGATCTTAATTCTGACCACTCATCAATCTTTTTCACACTCAATACCATCCCGCTTTCTTGCTCTGAGCCACCCAAGCTATTTAATGCATCCACCGACCGTTTAAAATTTCATAACCTTGTAAACCAGGCATTAAGCTAAATGTTAAATTAAAATCTACCAACGATATTGATTTAGCTATAAATAATTTTACAAATTTGATCCAGTCAGCGGCCTGGTCATCCAACTCACACACTCATAATCCTCTAAATCAGACTTCAGTTCCATCCGATATTCGTATATTAATTGCTGATAAGAGAAGGGCTAGAGCCCTATTTCAACGCAATCGCCTTCCCTCTCTTAAACATAATTATGATAAACTTTCTAATCTCCTTAAAAAAATGTTGGCCAAACATAAAGCCTCATTACTCGAAAAATTCCTGACAAATCTGTCTCCAAATAACGGCAGTCTTTGGAAAGCCACCAAAAGAACATGTAAACTTAACTCTCCAAATATACCAATTAAAAAATCAGATGGATCCTTCGTCTGCACTGACCAGGACAAAGCTGAATTATTTAAAGATTACCTTCATGAAACATTCCAACCCCATCCTGATATCTTCTCTCTTGAAAATAATATTGTTGTTGCTGAGTCTTTAAACTCTCCTCTTCCTGTATTTCGTCCTGTAAAACATTTCTCACCAAGTGAAGTAAAATTCGTTATTGATAAGTACCCTCATAAATAATCTCCAGGTTTTGATCTCATCACAGGTGAACTGGCCAGATGTTTACCAAAAAAAGCCATCACACACATTTTTAATTGTATATTAAGACTCTCTTACTTTCCAATACTATGGAAATTCTCAACTATTATTATGATTCCCAAGCCTAAGAAACCTCCAGATTCCGTATCTTCCTTCCGTCCCATTAGTCTCCTACCATTTTTCGCAAAAATCCTGGAAAAATTGATCCTTAAGCGCATCTTACCAAGTATCTCAAACTCAGTTCTACCTGATGCCCAATTTGGCTTTCGTTCTGCCCACTCTACTATTCACCAGGTGCATAGAATTGTTGATGCCATCTCGTTCTCACTCGAAAAAAAACAGTATTGTACTTGCGCCTTTTTAGATGTTTCTCAAGCGTTTGATAGGGTATGGCACGATGGTCTTCTTGTTAAATTAAAAAAAACTCTGCACCCTGTTTTTTACCTTATCATAAAATCATATCTATCCAACCGTCATTTTCAAATCAGATTCGGTAATGCACACTCAACTATATCCAATATCTCAGCCGGTGTTCCACAAGGGGGTATACTCTCCCCTGTACTTTACAACATTTATGCTGCTGATCAGCCTACTACACTAAACACTCTAGTTGCTGATTATGCAGACGATAAGGCAATAATATCTATACATTCTAATCCGGAAATAGCTTCACACAATCTTCAGAATCACCTAACCCTTATGGAAGACTGGTACACTATGTGGCGCTTCAAAATTAACCAGTCTAAGTCCTCGCACACTACTTTCACGCTTCGTCTCTCTCCCTGTCCCAAGGTATCTATATATGGCACTCAAATCCCTACTTCTCCTACAGTGAAATATCTTGGACTTATACTTGATCGCAGACTTACTTGGGCCCCCACCTTAGATCTAAAAGAAATAATTTAAACCTACGGCTGCGCCTGTTAAAAACTTTTTGTAATAACAATAAATACACGCACATTAAAACTAAACTCTTAATTTACAAATCTCTAATTAAGCCCATCTGGACATATGGCATTCAACTCTGGGGTAATGCAAAAGTATCAAACATCAACAAAATACAAACCTTCCAAAATATAGCGCTAAGGAAACTACTTAATGCTCCACCTTATGTCTCCAACCAGTCCATACAGCAAGATCTCAGGATGAACTCCGTTAAAGATGAAGCAAAACTCTACTACAAGCGTTTCAACAGTAGGTTACCCAATCATCCTAACCCTCTTATCAAAAACCTAGCAGTCCCTTCGATTCCGGGTAACCCCGTCAGACGTCTCAAACGTAATTGGTGTCGTGACCTGCTAGATGCATGATTCCTGATTCCTAGATCAAATCTTCCTACAAACTCTAATCAAAATAGATAGTGTCATCATTGGGTGGCTTCTTCCGTCATATTATTCATGTTATTTTTAGTACTCTTATCTAATTTGCTTATTGTTCTCTGAATAGATTGTAAATATCATGTAAAATTAAAAAAAAAAAAAAACTTTTATACGGAAGTAGTGTATGCTTCTTTCACTCACTTTTCAAGTCTAGTACACATTTTAAACTTGTTTGTTTATTATATTATTAGGTGTAAACGGATTGTAAGTATATTTTAAATAAATAATAAAAAAAAAACTTTTCCAAAAATTGAAACATTTAATTTTTTTAATTACTCATTAAAGGTCATGGGATAAAATCAATAATTTGGGAAAGTCGATCTAAAGTAGGCTTGACGATAAATTCAAATCTGTTTTTAAAATTTTTATCACTTCACTAGAATAATCGGTACGTTTGAATAAAAACACGTTTAAATCTTTATATTCCACGTGTATTAGACATAGAAATATCAACGCTTCCAAATCCCTTAAGGTTTACAATTTTTTTTTACAAAAGTTTGGTGATGAGGTCCATCTTACACCATATTAAGTTAAACAAGTTTTCTGAAGAGCTTATTATTTACTCACTGACATAAACAAACAAAATAATTGTGTGTATGTCTATGCTCAGCGTTAACTAAACATTTTACATTTTTACGACTACCTAGAAGCCATAAAAATACAAAATATGCTCATTGACTAGCGCCGTAGGTATAATGTCTAGCAACACAATATGTTCATAATTATGTTCTAATACAGTCAAAAGTCAACAACTATTCACCAAGTGCTTATCATTATTCCGCGTTTCTCGTGTTATCAATTATTATTATATATACAATTGAGTCGATGACATTGATAGTTTATACTGCACTATTAGGTCAATTCAAAATTTTTAATGTTTATAATACCTATCATTAATATCATAGATCACTTCATAGGTACTAGCTAGACGCTAAACTTAAATACAATTTCATGAATCACTAAACTTTTATCTGATATAAGTACAGAGATAGATCATAATATGAATAAGATATTTGAGGAAAAAAGTAGAGTATATAATTATGATGACAATCATGTTGCTACTAGTTTCAGACGTCCCGTTGATGAAGATGAAGTTGAAACACCGAAAGTATTATACATATTATTATCATTATTTTTGTTATTTTTAAAACATTATTTCACTTCTTGGCCATTGCACTTAGTTACTGCTATCATTAGCTTACATGTATATTATGATGTGGGCGATAGACGTTACATATTGGAAAATAATTTTTATAATCGGTTATTTAAGTAAAAATTTAAAACATTTTTTTGCTACTTATGTTTTGTATAAAAAAAAAAAATTGATACAAAATGTATTAGATATTCAATAATTACAGAAAGTCTATGGTGAAAAATCTCCACTTGTTAACAAAACAGTTACTAAAACTATAACAATAGCTCAACAAATTGCTGCTGATAGCATAGAATCTCAAGTACAAACTCAAAAAGGAAATCAGTATTTGGCTGCATTAATCGGTAGGTTGAAAATTATAATGGTTTTCTTTAAATTAAAATTATTTGTTTAATATGACTGTAGTTACTATTGGAGGGTTCATCATGGGCACAACACTTGGGTGGACATCTACTGCGGGTCCAATGATGGAAAACGGTCAATATGGATTTCAAATTACTGTGGAAAATGTTTCATGGATAGCATCAGTCATGCCACTTGGTGCCATGCTGGGATGTCCAGTTATGGCTGGTCTAGTCAACAAATTAGGACGTAAACATCTTATGATAATGTTAACCATACCTACACTTGCTGGTTGGGCAATGATAATATGGGCTAAATCTGTAAATATTAATATTTTTTTTAAACTAACTTTAATTAAAACTTTTGATGCAGATAATATTTTTTAAGGTGATATGGATTTGTGCTGGGAGATTTTTAATCGGATTTTCTAGCGGATCATACTCTGTTATTGTACCTATGTACACTTCAGAAATAGCTGAAAAGGAAATCCGTGGTACTTTAGGTACTTATTTTCAATTACAAGTTAATGCTGGAATCTTGTTCACATATGTTATAGGATCATATGTAAGTCTATATAATTTTATGTTTTATTTTTAAATTTAAATGTTATTTTCTTTTACAGCTTGATGTATTTGGTCTATCTATTGCTTGTGCAATCATTCCAGTGATTTATTTATACTTAATGTTTTTAATACCAGAAAGTCCAATTTTCTATCTCATAAAAGGAAATGTTGAAAAGGCCCGATTATCGCTAAAATATTTCCGCAAGCCTGTTGATTGTGTAGATCAAGAATTAAATACTATGCAGAGTGCATTAGCTAAAGTACATAACACACACATAAGTTCACATATTTTAATAATTATTTAGTTGTAGAGTTAGTAAACAATACATTTAATTTTAGATTGAAAGGGAAAGAGTTCCTATCACAGAAGCATTCCTAACTACACCAGCCAAACGAGGATTGTTCTTAGGTCTTGGAGTTATGGTTTTTCAACAGTTTTCTGGATGTAATGCTGTTATATTCTATGCCACAACTATCTTCAATGTAAATTTACTTATAAATTCATTAATAAATACAATTAAATATAATAAAACAATTAATAATAATTGTATACCGTTTATTGCAGGCAACTGGGAGTTCAATTTCATCAAATACCTCCACAGTTATTATTGGTATTATGGCTGTAGTGTCTACATATGTATCAACACTAGTTGTTGATAAATTGGGACGAAAAATTCTTCTGTTATATTCTATTGTTGCAATGGGAATTTGTACATTTCTCATTGGTGGATTTTTTTATGCAAAAGAATTCAATTACAATACTTCATCTGTTGGATTTATTCCATTGGTGTCATTATGTATATTTATAATATTATTCTCTGTTGGTTTTGGCCCAATTCCATGGATGTTAATGGGTGAAATATTTCCAGCTCAAATTAAAGGTATAATTAAAATCTAAAGATATAGTATTGGTTTTATGACATTATATTACAAAGTATTATTTAGTCTTATATGCTAACTATGCACGTGGATCAACTGATTATATTCTTTAAGATTATGGTTTATTTCAATTTTAGATTTATGAAAACTTAATTTCTTCTAAATATTTATACAATTATTTTACTTCTCAAAGTTTATTAAATGTATAGTTAGTTTTAGTTAGTATAATTTATAAATAATCAATTTTTGTTTTGGAGAAACAATACTCTCCATGAAACTTACATTATTTATTAATTATTAATTCTACTTGGAAGTCACAATTACATGTGTAGTTACTACACAGGTATCCGTGTTTTACCTATGACAGAGTTAAAGCCTGTATTATAAAAATACCCGTCTTTTATATTATCATACTTATAGTTAATACTCATATAATATTATACAATAAACTAATTTAACTTCCTAATTTTTAAGTATAACTTATAACTATTAATCACATCTTTAAATAATATATTTGGTTATGAATGGGTATTAAATACACAGATATACACGGACTTAAATATATTTTTTACCCACCCGTGTTTTCTAATACCCGTTCCAAACCAAAATCCCTAATTCTACTTGTTTATATTTTTGTTATAGGCATTGCTAGCTCAATAGTTTGCATGTCAAACTGGCTGTTTGTATTCTTGGTTACCAAATTTTTCACATTATTGGTTTCTGCTATTTATTTATACAACACATTTTGGCTATTCACATTATTCTGTGTATTGGGAACATTCTTTGTGGTGTTTATTGTACCAGAAACCAAAGGCAAGACCATGGAAGAAATTCAAGAACTTCTTGGGGCTGATCTCATTCCACTATTAACAGAAAATCGTGATGATGTCTAAAACTAATCAATTTTATATTATTTATCCACCAGTCATCGTTTACTATTATTATTATAAAATTGTGTTTGATTATTTTTAATAATTATAGAAATATTTACATGTTTTTATCGATAACAAACATTTAATTTTTTATCTGTTGTAGCATGTTTTTTTGAATTATTGGGTTTATTTAAATGATTTTAAAATGTTTTCTATTAAATTTTTAGTTTAATGTATACTATTTTACATATATTTTTATTCCTTTTTTTAAAACTTATGATGTGATGAAATTTTTAGTATTAACTTAAATTTCTAATTTTTGGAACATTTCTATGGATTAAATATATTATCTACCGCTCCTATTATTATTAATGTATTTATAATTAGTGTGCCAATTTAAATCTGTGATACCACAAGACTTTTTTATTGTATAAAAACATGTATGTAAGTTAATATATTAATATATACATTTTATGAGTACCTATCTTACATTTTTTTTTTTTTTTTAAGAAATAAATCTTTATTTATACTCTTTTACTAAAACAATATTTAAAATTAACATTGAAACCATATCACTATTAAAGAAGAATGGCTCTTATTAAAGTTTAAAAATTATAATAAATTGAAGATATTTATATACTAAGAGTACTACTAATGTATCATAATATAAAAGGTGATTAAATAATGAAGTCACTCAAAATTTAATTTTTGGAATTCTTAAATATACTTCAATATCATTTTTAATTATCATATTATATTGTTAGTAATAATTAATAATTATAAATTAAAGAATGCTTGGTGATCAACATATTAAATTTACACCTGAATGGCTGTATACTATCGACTTGGGGAGGGGGATAGCTACGAGACTATACGTCTAATTTATGCATAATTCTACAGATCAAATGGCAATTTAACAGGAATCCAGATATTCCTAAGTCCTGTTCTTGTGTACGTTACACTCGTTACAGTTGGAGAAATGAACACACCGTTTTCAGCATTCAAGTACACCTACCTTATCACCATGAAATCAATGTAATTTTCAAAGTATTCTATGAACTATGTTCCTTTGATCATAGTTAGTTTATTTTGTGTGAAACTACGTAATTATGTTTCTACTTAAAACAAATTACCATAAATACCACTGTAACGTCTGTAGCATAACTGCACAGGTAATCACAGCTATAAAGAATTAAAGAATGGTGCATTCGTATGCATTCGTATTTCGTGCTGTAAAAATTAAATGACATACTAGCACTGTTTATTTGTCTCATATCGACACAAGGTCAATGTACCTACTATTTAATAACTAATAATTATTTACTTCATTACTAATAAGCAGGTACCAAGTAGCAAGGCACTTGCTCCCCACCTCTCCCTGGAAAAATAATTTGATCTTATAAATATTACCATCATAGATATTATCTAACAACCTAAAGTCTAAAAAGCATAAAAATTGTTTTTTTCTTTATCCCTATGTATATATTATACATATTATATGTTATATTTTGTGATATAATAAAGTCGTATTGACAACTTGGTAGATATACGTAAGATTAATAGCAGATTAAACGTTTGTTTAGTTTATATTTCAAGACTTTTTTTGACATATTTTGCCCCCCCCCTCTAAGATTGAATCAATGGGCGCTCGTGGGTGCAGACATCGACTTGGTCAGTTTCAGTGTTGACTGCCAAGTCGAGCATCGAAACATTCGAAACGAGTTTCACGGTCTAGTACTCGTCACATGTACACAAGGCATTACTATTATGTAAATATGTAATAAATCTGTTCAATGTTATGTAACGATGATAAGACTACCAGAGTGGAAAATATAATACGGAATATTGTTAAAAGACAAGAGCCAGTCAGAGCCCAGAGTTAATTAGCTAATAACTAAAGTACTAGATTAAAGACTTTAAAATTTATCAATATTCAATACAGAACGCGTTCAAACTTCAAACTCGAAAGTACCATCGAATGTTGATGTCGATTGTTGATTAGATAACACATTTTTATTATCAAAAATTGTGGATTCCGTATTTCCGTTTATTTCTGTTGTTTATCTATAAATATTTTAAATGTGTTCAAAGATCTGAGTTACCAAACAATTTTCCGTTCGAATTCACTTATGTAGATCCTGTCGCACTTAAATAATCGAAAAACGATCAGTGACGATATTTGGAATTGAGTTAATTGCGACCGTTACGATTGAAAATCGTCCTTTCTGGCTAAATTATGAGCACTTTAATGTCCATCGAAGATAGAGGGTCTGATGAAATACACAAGACTGAAGATGGTCGAGATAGAATTTCACCGCTGAAGGTATTATACGCCTTACAAGCAAATTTTTGTGCATTTGAGGTCGTTATTAATTGCTTCTTTTATTTAAATATATTACATTTTATTAGTTTATTAGAGATATTGTGAAAATAAATAATGTAGATATACCATTCAGATGACTATTGACAAATGTCTTTGATTGTTTTAGGAAGAGTATAATGAACAGAGTCCTCTTGTTGACAAAACATCATATCAAAATCGAACTATAAATTTTCCTCAAAAAATAGACTGTGAAAAAACACAATACAGAACTCAATATTTAGCCACTTTGATTGGTAGGTCTTTGAAAATCCTGTATTAAATATATATACTTTTTTTACAATTTTTACATGTGACTAGTAACTATTGGCGGGTTCATCATGGGCACAACACTAGGATGGACGTCTCCAGCCGGTCCAATGATGGAAAATGGCCAATATGGGTTCCAAATTACTGAGGATGACATTTCATGGATTGCGTCATGCATGCCACTTGGTGCCATGCTGGGATGTCCATTTATAGGTTGTTTAATGAACAAATTGGGACGTAAACATCTGATGATAATGTTAATTTTCCCTGCATTCTTTGGATGGGAAATGATAATATGTGCTAATTCTGTAAATATTTATATTTTTAAATCAAAATTTAATACATATTTAAACTTGATTTAAAAATAATTCTTAAAGGTAGTGATGATCTGCATCGGCAGAGTTCTAACTGGATTTGCTAGTGGTGCATACTCTGTGATAGTACCACAATTCACCTCTGAAATAGCTAATAAGGAAATACGTGGAACTTTAGGCACTTATTTTCAATTACAAGTATTTTCAGGTATCTTATTCACCTATGTGTTAGGATCCTACGTAAGTCTTACCTATATAAAACTTAATTAAATTTTTTATCAATACTATTATGCTTTTTTATAGTTAAATTTATTTGGTCTCTCTATTGCTTGTGCAATGGTTCCAGTGGTTTATTTGTGTTTGATGTTTTTGGTCCCAGAAAGTCCAATTTTTTATCTATTAAAAGGAAATATTGTAGATGCTCGATTGTCATTGAAATATTTCCGCAGACCTTTTGGTCAGGTAGACCAAGAATTAAACTCAATGCAAGATTCTTTGGCAAAAGTACAAACATTTACAATACTTACATACTTTAATAATTGTCTATGTATTAATAAATAAACAATGAATATATTTTAATAGACTGAGAGAGAAAAAGTTCCAATCATGGAAGCATTCAAAACTACACCAGCCAAGCGTGGGCTATTCTTAGGCCTCGGGGTTATGGTTTTTATGCAGTTTACGGGATGTAACACAGTTATTTTCTATGCCACAACTATCTTCAATGTAAATAATTTTGTTATTCTAAAAATTATTATTACTGAAAATTTGAATTTATTTTAGGCAACTGGTAGCTCGATAAATTCAAATGCTTCTACAGTTATTGTAGGTATCATGGGTGTTTTATCTACATACGTGTCAACGCTTGTTGTTGATAAATTGGGAAGAAAAATTCTGCTTTTGTCTTCTGTTGTTGCAATGGGAATATGTACATTTTTCATTGGTGGATTTTTTTATGCAAAGGATCACAATTATGATGTTTCATCTATTGGATTTATCCCATTATTGTCGTTGTGTGTATTCATAATATTATTCTCAGTTGGTTTTGGCCCAATCCCATGGATGTTGATGGGTGAAATATTTCCAGCTCAGATTAAAGGTAAGATATGATTTCAGGAGACATTTATTTTTACAATTATTTTGTAACATGTTAAAAATATCTTGAATAGTATATCGATGAAATGTAAAACAGCTTTGCTTTGAACTTAATATATACCAAAAACTGTGCACTATACTCAAATACTATAATTAATTTTTATTTATTTTAGGAATTGCTAGCTCAATAGTCTGTATGGCAAACTGGTTCTTTGTGTTTTTGGCTACAAAATTTTTTGCATCATTGGCATCCATTATTTATTTATACAACACATTCTGGCTCTACACGGTGATCTGTGTCTTAGGCACATTCTTCGTGGTATTTATTGTTCCCGAAACCAAGGGTAAGACAATGGAAGAAATTCAGTTGTTGCTTGGTGCATAACCTGTACTGTTATCACTAGAAAACGTCGGATGTAAACATTTTTCTTATAAACAACTACTTAAGCTGTGATGTGTTTCTTTTGTCTATGAAGTTAAATTATTTATTTTTATTAACTTTTTAAAAGATAACCTATGTTTTGTACAAAACTTTTATAAATTTAGAATATTTTTAGATGTTTAACTATTGTTATAAATTTTAACATTTTTTCAAATTTTTATTCTTTTTATAAGTAAATTTATTTTTAGTTTATATTGAAAATATAAGTTTAATATTATAATACAAGTTTGTTTTACAGAAAAAAATTCTTATCGCCTGATAGAATAATTCAATTTTGATAAATATTTTATTTATTTTACAAAAAGAGATAAAATTGCATATTGTGTAAATATTGTATATCGACACTAGCTAGGCTGTTTACTGAATTCTTAAAACAATTAACTTATTTAAATTTCTATAAGGTTCTAGTTTAATTGTTTATTTTTGTCTATTGAATAATTAGTACATCAATTTATAATAATTACATTAACATTTACTGAAACTTTTATGAATGTTAGATATTTTATCGTGGTGTAATACTGTATTGAAAGTGATCTAATCAAATAAATGTAATAAAATATTTTTTTTTTTTTTTTATAAATACTAAAAATTGATATCGATTAGGGGTTTGACAATAATTTGTTTCCAAAAACTCAAACTCTTACAAGTATAAAGAAAATAAATTAAGGTTTTTAGTTATATAATATTCATTACTAAATATATTTTTTTTTAAAACAAAACAAATTTTTGGTTAATTTCTTAATTATTAGTAAAAATGATTTTTAATTATTGCACTTAGCGGTATTAAATGTTATAAATATAATAATACACAGTGCACATGATACTTTATAAAAGTATTTATAAGTATTAAAAATAAATATTAAACTTATGATAACTAATTTTAGTAGGATTATTTTTTTTTTTTTGCAAAGATTATTTAAATAATACAATCGGATACAAAATAAATTGAAACAGTCTTTTAGCACATTTGACAAATTCATCATCAAATGATTTTTGTCTAACATTGTTGTCGATTACTTGCACTTTGGAACATGTTAAACACCCAACAGAAGATGCTTGTACAAATGGATTTTTGGCTGTTAATATACCAAATTTGTTACCAGACAACTGACCTGAAAACCATATATGATCATTTTCTCTTAAACTTTTTGTTGCATTATCCATTATGATGTCTTGACTATTGGTTAGCAGTGTCGTTATATCACCACTTTTGCCCCATACACCTTCATTACTCATTTTTATTTCTATTTCATATGTATAACGATTCCATTCAGATAAGTGACAAAGGTCAGATAGCTTTGAGCTCACATTACAACCGTAACTGTTAGAACATGTTGATAAGCGTTTACCCAGCAGACAAGTCAATGGATTCGATACAATCTTAAATAAAATATTTAAAATTAATAAAATTATAGTACTTATTTCCTATTTAACTTACTTTTGGAAAGAAGCTTAATATAGTTAAAATGGGATTGTAAACTGAAACAACCTTGGTGGATTTTATGTAACCATCCCATTGCACATTTAGACCAATTAATTGTGAACAATCAATGTCAGCCATTACAGTGATTTCTTGAGAATTTTTACCAATATCTTTGTTACAAAATTCTGAGAAATCGTTATAAGTTAAATGATGTTCAGCAGGTGGCTCAATCCATTGTTGTATACGCTCATAGTTGTTGAAAACACAAATTGTTGTGCCAATTAAAACTATAATAACCTATAAGAAATTACAGTTATTTAAAAAGTTAATAGTTTGAATATTAAGTCAAGTACCTGCAAATAAGTATAAAACGAATCTGTGCGAAAACCTTTACGTTTGAAATATTGCAAAACTATGTGTAAAATCCACATAAATATGAGAACAACGGGTAGTTGAATAATTTGATATATGGTCTCAAAGTCATTACCAATAGTGACAAATGGCAAGAAAATACCAGTAATCGGAAACAGTATAAACACACAGACTAGGGCTAATATACTACGAACCAGTCCATACCATGTAGACTCTATGAAAAAAATTATTAAAATTATTATTTGTTGATTCACTTGTTTAGTCTTAAATTCAATATTGCATACCTTGTGAAGCAACTAGAGCCATTTGCCACCATGAAAGTGTCATGCAATGTGGTATTAAGTCAGTGTAAATTCCTCTCCAATTATTACGTGCTGCCATTTTAACCATAATCGCTGGTAATATTAAGTAAAACAATGCTCTAAAATTGAGACAAAATTCAACACCATTTCCTAGAAAATAAATATATGTTGTTAATATAATATGGATGAATAAAACATATTTAACGAGTTAACTTACCAATGACATATGATGCAAATGTTGGTACATGTAAATCAAGAAATCTCCAGCCTTTACTTACTACTGTATCAGTTTCATATGGATATTTTGCTAGTACATTAACACAAAACGATAACAGTGCAATTAGATCTATGTTTTTGGTTTTGCCCAGTTTTGGGCCACTTAACTAAAACAAAAAAAAAAAAAAAATTAATTAAGTGTATTCTTAAATACAATAATATTATAACAAATTTATAATACTTAGTATAGTTACCGAAAAAGAATATAGCGTATAAAATGTTAAGCAAATTGATACAATGGTTAATTCAGATTGAAACATGGTGTCTGAATCAATTACAGTCTTCAAAAATAAATGAGCTCCTAATGATGCAAAAAAGAAAACATATGGTTTAAGAGTGTTCATTAAATGTTGATATTCCGCTTCTTGAGCACTGAGACATCCTCCACTGTATGTGATGAATAAATTTGACCATCGACGGAATCGTCCATAATCTCTTTTAGCACATAATGCACATACTGTGGCAACTACCATTGCAAGTAATGATCCATAAAATAAGATATAAGGAATCAACAAACAAATACCATCTAAGCCCAATATAAAGCAGAGAAGTGTTGTTATCAATGTTGGAGCGTGAAAATATGAGAAAGGATTTAATGGCAACTTGGAAAATCTTTTATTCAATCTTTCTTGAAGACAAAGATTATAATTGTGAATAATGTAAACAGGCTGGAGAAATAGATCACAAGTAGTAAATATGGCATTTTTGTTTTCTTCAATAGTAAGTATTTTTTGCACAAGAGGCATTTGTCCGCGTGAAAAATCTTTAGCAGCATTCACTAAAACATCTTCAGTAAGTTTCTCACCAGATTCATTTATTCTGGATTTCCAATCTAAAAAATACATAAAAATATACATATAGTGGAACCTTAATATCCAAACTAATTGCAACTACACCTAGTTAGATAGGTAAAAGTTTAGATACTAGGAATTTTTAATTTTTTTTTTTCATTTAATATGAAATATGTATGTATTTGTTATCACATATATTACATTAAATACTTTTGTATTAAGATATATACACTCTTGAAAACAAAAAAATGATTAGAAAAAAGAGCGCACAGTGAATTGTTTTAACTAGGTGTAACGGAAAATAATACAATATGTTTGTATTGATATGCCGAATACACATGTACGCTGTTTAAATAAACATAATACAGTGTATCAATTATCAAATTATAAGTAAATATATGTAATGTATTAATAATAAATGGCTGACATAAATGATAAAATCAATATAACCAGTCAATATGTATAGGATAAGTGTTTAGATATATCAATTAACGCATATTGACAGTCAAATAATAGAAAAGTTCATATATAATATTTTTTATTACCTTGTCGTGATGATTTTAAACATTTGTATTCTTTAGAGTTTGAATCTACTTTCATTATGTCTGAACTAATGGATTTTTTACTACATGCTTGATTTAATTCATCTTTCAATTGATCACTAGTTATAAAGTCCTCACCAGCTGACATCCTACAATAACAAAAATTATGTAATAAGCACATCATATAAAGAATAGTTATACTTAAAATTCTATATAACTGAATAAAGAGTACAATAAAAATGTAGCAAAAATTGAAAACATTTATGAAATTTGTGAATTTTCTATGGTATTTTGATTTATTGAATTATTTAAATTTAGTGTAGACTTAAAATTAAGTACTAGTTTACTTTATCTACATAATATAATATATTAATTATTATTAAGTAAGTATTTTATAATTATTAGTCATCTATTATAATTAATTAAATAACACATTTTTTTTTTTTTATCAATTAATAAAAATTTATGATTATACAGAAGCACTTAATATATCAGTCACTATGTTGTTATCATCTTACAAACATGCAAAATGGCAAGTTTGCATTTAGTAAAATTAATTTTAAGTTAGATTTAATAGAGTGAATTGACCTATTATTAAATCCAAAGAATATTATCTAAAATTTAGATTCTAAATGTCTATAATACTTCAATTTTTATAACAAAACTTTCAAACATAGATTACCGTTAAGCTGTATAATAAATTGATGAAATCTAATATCATAGTTAAAATAAAATTGGTTAAATTTGTTGATAGCAAATTTATTTAGTCATACATTTGTAAGATCGCAATAACACATGTGGAACTGACATTTTTCTAATGGATTATTAAATGAATTGTTATTTTAAAATTATAAATTATAAATAAATATTAATAATTTTATTCATAATAGAACAGTACCTATCAAAAATTTCATGAGCTGTTTTTTGAATGATTTTATCCTCTTGAGAAGTTTCCAAACAAACCTTAACATCCAACCAATTATGTTCAGTGATACCTAAACAAGTATTCAGTAAACAAATTGATGCAAATAAGTCACGAGTTTTAAAAAAAAATAATTTTGAAGTTATTTATATCTATTTATAAATAGTGGGGATGATTGATAAATTAATTATGAACAAACCTTTTCCTGTGTCTAAACATTCTTTTAAAAGTTCAGTTGCCTCTTTATGTCCTTGAGAAGAAGCCTTGATCAGCCAATAAACACCCAAGCTAGCATTTTCTTCTTGATCTTTTTCATCTTCTATTAGAAAAACAAAGTAATTTAAAAATTATAAATATTTAAAAAAAAGTTTTAATAATAATTTATTTTAACAGCAAAATTAAAATGCCTTATTTTTAAATGTTTTATAGTAAATAAGTATAAGGAACCATTCATAATTCATAAATTAACATAAACATAATAAATGTTTATTAGAAAATAGATTAGTTGTAACTATATGAATAAAATAAGAAGGGGTAAAATAATCAAGCAATAATAAATATGGTACTTTCAAGAAAGCAAAATACATTAAATATTGGATAACTTGTACTTATAAAAAATATAATATTTATGTTGATAAGATTTAATATAAAATTATGTAAATAATATATTATATTATTTATTTAATTTTACCTCTAAAAAGACAAATTATTGTACCTACAAAATATACTAGAAAATTAGGGTATTGTTGTATTTTTATTCCCATAAGTCATAAGTTATGATATATCTAAATTATTTATGTCTTACCGCAGTTCTCATTCAGCAACTGTTTTGCCAAATCAACTTGTGAATCAGGCCATCCATCTTCAGCCAAGAAACTTCCAAAACGATTGTAACGACTTTGAGTTCGGTCTGTAGAGGGTGAAAAATAAATTACCACAAGATTACATAACCATGCAACAAATGTATTAAATAATGATGAATCGTTACTCAGCAAGGTCCACTGTTTTCTTCGCGTCGACTTCTGCCCGATAATGGGATCCGCCATATTTTCAGCCAGTTTGACAAGCACAAATCTCGTGTAAATCAAAAAAAAAAAAAAAAAAAACGCACGATTAAACGACGAGAAGCTAACAATTAAGGAGCACGTGACATCTCGAGTTGATGCCGGTTGAGTGGCGAATGGCGTCAGTAAAAATAACTATAGAGTACCAATTATAAATGTCCGACGTCGAGAAATTAAGAGATCGTGTCTTGGTGTCTTCGTACCGAGGCTAAACAGTTTACATACACTCGGCGTCGAATCGCTGATCTTCGACCCCCAGGATCTCGAAAATAACCTTTTACGGCATTTAACGATTTAATGTAGAACGATAAAAATATATGTATATATTATAAATTATAAATTTAACACAAAACTGAATTCGAGATAGTAAGTTGATACCTTTGATAACTATAGTGTTAAGGGTATCTGTGACTGGGGGACAGAGTACCTCCTCGTTGATATCGTAGAAGTCGTAATCACATCCAGCTGTTCGTCCACGGCTAATTGATCGAAAACGACAATAGACTGAAAACTCCAATGATAATATTATACGCTTTTTGTACCAATTTTGGCACTACTACATGTTTATTAAAGTCATTATTCATTACTCATTTGCCGTTACTGTTGAACACAAAATAGACTTTTAAGCGACTAGGTACTTACATTATGCCGTTCTTAATTTCGTGTTATAGAACTCAGAAAACAATAATGATAAATTATGTTTTGTTATCTAAGTATAAGATTAAGTTTTTAATAATTCGAATGGCTAGTTGAAAATGTTTTTGATGTGCAATGGGTTACGAAATATTTTACTGTGTTAAAATTAAAAATTACATTTAAATGTGTGGATGAGTAACCAATTAAATACATTTCACACGATTTTTACAAATACTATACATATATAAAAAAAAAAAATATTGGTAAAATAAGAGCGTGCTAAAAAGTGCACATAACTGAAGCAACACAGAATAACAACAAAATTACTTATTTGTGAACCTGGAAGATGACGTATACAATCAAATTCAAAATGAATTAATAGGTACTACTCAGTAATAAATATATATTGCATACTTCAATGTATAAATACATTGATTTTTATTGACTATTACGAATTAGTAATTACCAATTAGCATACATCTTAGCTGATTCTGTACGGCCACGACATTGCCCTTAACATAATAATGTGCGTAAATTTATTTTATCATAAATTTCGGTAAATGTTAACTACATAAATTCTTAACACAGTAATTGTTGGTAGTTTTGACCTAATTTAAATTACAGGTCTAAAATGATATCCAATTATAATAACTATTTTTATTCCTTGTAATTAATAGTAGGTAACCCTATAGAGTATATGTAGGTATAAACACAAAAATATTTGTTTTTCATAACCTCCTTTTTAAAATGCGAATTTTGAACATTTTTTTTCTTAGTACGCCTATAAGTATATATTATAGCTATTTAATTAGTTATAACAATTTTCAGCCATTTACGTAACAATCAACAATAATTGTTTCTCGTATCTCCTGACATTTTTTTTTTTTTTTGGAGGGTATTGAATAAAAGAAAATAAGTGATTAAAAAAAAGCAAGATTCATCTTCAATGATAAGTTTAATATTTTAGGGTATTAAGATCTTCTTAACGTTATATTTTTTTATCGATATGCGTTTTTAATCATTTTTGAACACTAATTATACAATTTAAATTTGTATAAATCGACAAAAACATTGTTTAAGATTTCTGTATTTTATTTTTATTAAATTAAATAATAAACTTAGTGGCGTAGTCAAGGGAAAGGAGACTGAGGGGGCTGCAGCTCCCGAAATATTAAGAAAAAATAAGATATTATTGAGCTAAGCTTTTTTTACCTGATGAATTTTTTTTTAGGTAAGCCCCCGATGTGTGTAAAATTTGATCACTTCCTTCTCCCATAAATAAAAAATAAAAAAGTCTACTAAGATCAACTTTTTAATAACGATGTGTTCAAGTATAATTTGAGATGGTATTATAAATAAATTAATAATAATATATTGTTAACTTTCTATAATCATACAAATACAGAATAGGTTTACTCATACGCATTGGACATTACAGAATATGACTAGATAAATTTATTTGAAATGTATTAAATTACAATTGTTGATCGTTTAAAATGTATAAGAATTATTAACTTAAAACTTACAAGTTTGCAAAACTTTATGCAGACAGATACCTATATTTTTAAATAAGCTAATAATTATAATGATGGTTGTATAAAGTTAAATACTTGAATATTTTAGTTAATATTTTATTTTATTTAGACATACGGCACGTGTAGTATTACACGAAAATATAGAGTATTTTTAAACATTTGGGTACTTATCAAATATCAGAGTAATAATTATATATAATAAATAATAATAATAATAATAATAATAATAAATATAATACGTATATAATATAAACGATTTGGTAACAAAATAAATCATGACTAGAAGCTGACGCGGCTATATCGCGATTGACTATATAAATATTAAATGGTAGATATCTACACATATTTTAAAACTTTTAACTGGTTTCAATAAAGCTAAAAAGTTGTATAATGTATATAAATACATATATATTGCACATTTATACAGAAGCTTTTACAATTTCTTCTACTTTTTTTTTGTTTTTGATTAAATTAGGAGTCGATACTCAACTTTATATAGACATGTACGTTTTTAAGTTACATTTTACTATTTTAGGTAAAAATATAAGAAATTACCTAATATATGGCAGTGAAAACCATGAAAAAGAGCTACATCCTGTATCGATCAAAATTATGGTTAATGTAGAAAGGTAAGTTGATATTAAAATGTGTGTATATAATTTTGGTTTATACAAGGTTTATGTTTTTTAGTGATTGCTTAAAGTAGTTTTGAAGCTTTAACGGTAAATACTGTACAATACCAAATCATCGATGTATTTATATATAAGTATCATGGTACTGTACGCCTGTACCTATAAATATATATGATATCGAAATACTGAATTATATCTACTGTATTATATCGAAATAAGTATATTTTTAAAAAATATGATGACAAAAAAAAATATATAGTATACGTAAATTAGATGTATGGCTTTTGATTTTATCTCAATTAAAAAATGTTTATGTTTTAAAAGAAAATCACACGCACCCGTATTTTTTAAAAGGCTTTTTGATATAGGTATTTAACTTTCACCATATGTTTAGGTATAATTATTTTAAAGTGATATGATTGATAAATATTAATATTTATTATAATTCAGTATATTATGATGATAATATTATAGGTACAGTAAAGAAAACCCTGAAGAAAATCAATCCATTGCTGGATATGGAAGTAGCGTTGGACAGGGAAAGGTGGAAGAGCGTATTAGAAGCGGCGATGGTTCTGAGTGGACCGCTATATATAATCCCTAGAAAAAGAAGATGATACAATGATGGTATTTTCAATGCCAGTTATTAACATGATCGGCATTTCATGGTATCTATCGTATTGTGATATATTTTACGGTATTCCAAATAACATCTAGGATATTAACAAATAAAATCATTTTTAAGTCATTGCGATGTATTCATCATTAAATTGATAGATTTCAGTAATCCGGAGAAATAAAATTCAAAATTATTCATAATAACATAATTTGTGAGTTTGACATTCCCCAGCTATGTTCCTCCACAATATACACAGCCATGTATACTGCAATACTATATATATATATATATGTCCAATCAATTGAAATGTGTGAGTATATATAGAAAGAACAAATTTACAAAAGATACCTATATAGCAGGTATATCATTATAATATATATATATATATAGGTACAATTTTGTTTATAGAATTGCAGGAATATAATATTAACTATATTGTATGCTATTATATGATATATATATACATACATAGAGAGAGACTTAGACTAGTATAATGCACTAATATACTATAAAATATAGTGAAACTTCCATTCTACATAGTCATAAAAGTTTTATGGGTTACAAAAAATCTCCTAAGTTGAATTAAATAAATTTTGTTCGAATTTGGTTTAGTTTTTAAAAATATTTCGTTAAACAGAAAATTTTGCTAAAAAGAAGTTAGAAGTTAGTTGTATGGAAGTTTCACCGTATTATATGTTACATCATTTGTACAGATTTATATTATGTTTGATTTACTACGCGTACGACTTTTCCATATGATACATGTCGCCGAGTAGTCTTTGTATTGGTATGTCACCGATGGTCTCCTTGAAGAACAACCTCTCAATGGTCGCCTGCCGGACTGCCCGAAGATTGGGCAACATAAGTAACAGCCGTCCGAATCGAGTAGGCTGTCTCGAATATCGGCCCCGCACGTAATCGCCTAATATGCACTGCGCTTGGTCTTGGAGCATTTCTACCGGCTGCGCATCAATCAAGCTCGGTGTTTCTACATAAAAATACATTTTTAATTTTATGTTATGGACAAAAATAAAAATAAAATATGCATACGGCACACGCTTAGGTTATTGAAATAAATTATTGTTAATAAATTTTATTTACAATCGGAAAAAAAATATATCTATACAATATTTTTTTTTTAATGTATATAATATTTTAAGATCATAAGATATACATTGTATATTATCTTCCATTATTTTTATTACAATGTATTTATTAAAAATGAATAAATATTTAATATATTACATATATATTATACGCATAATGTAGGTAGTAGCCAGTAGGTACATAATTTAGTATATGATGTACTTAAACGTACAAATAATAGTACATTTGTAATATTTGTATTGTATACAAGTAAATATAGTTTTCTATAAAATATTTTTGAAATATTAAATGTTTTAACGTTGATCATTACTTATCAATAATTCACCACTCACCTGGTGTGAATAAAATAACCGCTTTCATGCAACCGCATTCACTACCATCCGGCGATAGTTGTCGAAAACGTGCCAATATTTCTTGTATGATTTTCATCTCATTGTTGACCTTAGTGTCATCTGCTGGTAGCCTTTCACGAGCCTTGTCTGAATTTAACAATGGCGATAAGTCCCAAGGAATGGACCACTGAGCCAAGTGTAAAAGGAACAATTCTTTCCACGATTCTTGTAACAGTAGCAACTGTATTACAGAGAAAACAAAATCAGATTCAACTTCGCCAAAAAGACAAAATTAACAAAATTTAATCTTCCTTGGAAATTTTTTTAAAAAAATTCATGCATCTACGACCAATTTATAATACATGTAGATTTGACATATATAACATAACAGAATACCAATAGTTAATATACTTTTCAAAGTTTATAAAATTAGTGTTCATTGTAGTTAAAAGAATCACCATATAGTCTGCATGCAATCAATAACAGATTAGTTTTAATGAAGGACTTTTAGGCTATCAGTTTCGTATACATAACTTTTATATTTCGGTTGAGGTTGGTCAGATCTGTAGAAAAAAACCTATCCCGTATAACTTTACATACGTAAACCTACGAAAAAACTTTTTTTTTAAGTATTTATATAAATTAAAATATAAAGTGTAAGAAAAAACAATTGTAGGTAAGATTCAACTGATTAAAGTATCCAATAAAATATATAATCAGCAGCCACACTTGATAGTCGTTAAATCAATATTGATACTGCACAGTGTACAGAGTTAAAAGTTATATATACCTATGGTTGTGGTATAGATACTATTTCTATCGTGAGATTCACTATTAACTTATTGACCAGCCTGTTTGATTTAGTGTGACGGCTCTACAAAATATAAGTAGGTAATACCTACCTATAATACCTATATACTGCCACTGTAAGCGGTCGTTAAATATTAAGTGTATTTAATTATTTAAATGTGTACGCATTTTGTGATTTTTACCACTATTTAATAAAAATATCCATGGATTAATTGAGCTGTAGCCCATAGCGCAAAATATGACTCAAACTCAACCCAAAAGCGCAAAAATAAATATTTCATTAGCGCAATTAAATTTTATGAAATAAAGTGTATTTTATAAGTTAGATATAAGTTTATACTGTATATATTTTATAGTGATCTTGAAATAAGATTATTAACCTTCACCGTAATTCGTTACGATAAATATGATACGGTAATAGTGATAATACTTAACTTCAACTGAACTCAATTACTGACTACTGTTGATGTATTTTTGAATTATAAAAATACTATATATTTAATTAAAGTAAATAATTTAATTTAATAATTAATAATTTTAAAATGAAACTTATAGTGTAACGGATACAATAATATTTATTTTTGCGCACTTTTATCCCATTACTAAGGTACAAAGTTACATAGTGAATTTACGCTTTTGATCTATCGAAAAAATAGACAATTTGCGCTTTTGAATTTCACCGATTAATTATAACGATAATTGATTATAGTCACCAATATATATTGGTAAAAATATGTATATTATTGTTACCTGGTCGTGTTTGGAAAGGGTCTGAAATGGAGCCAAGCATCGGACCCATCTAACTGCCATGAATAGTAATCGAGCTGTGGTCTCCTGTAACATAAAGAAAAATAATAATTTATTGTCGAATATTGAATTATTTCAAAGATAAAACTATTTTGTGTTTAATAAATTTGAATAAAATGATCTCGACATTTCTTTACGTTTTCCAACTATAACATAAAATATATGCATATATTTATATACACGGATATTTTTTTTTATACGACTCCCTTTTCTTCTTTTATGATAACCGTTTTTTCTTATTTTTTATCTATTAAATTGTGTTACATTAAACTTAAATATAAAAAAAATTAATAAACAAAAACTTTTTAACTTTACTAAATATTAATTATTATTACATCCAAACATACGTAGTATAAATATATGTATTTGTTAAATGTATTCGTACTGGGTCGCCATTTTTAATCTTCAATCACAGGCGATTGGATAAAGGGGCACACCTTTTGCCACCCGCAGAAAAGTAGGCGGGCAGTCAAAAAGTCAACCCTCGTGTATAAAATATAATCCCTTGCACCAGTGCGTATATATAATCAACTCAATGTGTTGAAACGTCAGTTATTTACAGTATCTATACAGCTTATATCAACATTACATTTATTATTAACCCATTAAGGCCTAGCGTAACCGTATGGTAACACAATTATAGTCATGTTTGAATGCATGCTATTTTTAAACTTATGGGATTATCCAGTTCCAACGTCGTTCATATCGTTGATAATGACCCGGTGATTAATTTTACACACAGATATCTTTATTATATGTTGACATTAAATATTTATCAAGAAATTCAATTTAGTTTGAAAATTATTTCGTAGAACATGGATATCAATTTCGAGTAAGTAAATTATATATATTTTAAATATATGAATCAACTATAATTTTTATTTATGCGTATTCAGTATACTATAGGGATTAATATTAACTTAATAAAGTGTGATATTATTCAATATTGAATAAGTTATGAAAGTTAAAAGTTTGATGTTACCGTATGGTAACGCTAGGCGCAAGTACTACATATAATTTAAATTTTTTCAACAGAACTGGATTTTCGCTGTCTGAGGCGTTAGACATTTTGTACAATGACATAGATGCAGACGAGATATATATCGAACCACCTGAACCATGTGTACAAACTGATGAAGATTCCGGGGATGAAAACAATGGTGAAGTAGACAACTTATCAGCACGCCAATTACGATCTAAAGCAGAAATTAAATTAGCCAATAATAAGAGGTACGGCGGTATTGGTGATGATAATATTGGTCTAGAAAACATTTTGAGCAGTAAATCTGTGACATCGAGTGAACAATATAAACACGTAAGCACGAAAAGTATAGATGAGTGGATGAAAAAAATAAAAACTGGTAAGAAATCTTTTACGTGGATAAAAGGGGGAGATTTTGAAGAGCTTCAAAAGAACTTTCCTGAGCCTGATTTTTCAAGTTACAAAAACTTATCTATTGTAGACATTTTTGAAACTTTTTTGGATTACGACATAATTAATTATCTTGTGGATGAAACTAGGCGTTATGCACTTTTTTTAAATTGTCCAGATCCACATATAACACATGACGAAATTCGATGTTTTATTAGTATTTTATACCTTAGTGGATACAATAAATTACCTTCAAAAAAGTCGTTTTGGGACTCTATGGATGATATGAAAAATGAGGCTGTCTGTAATGCAATGCGCCGTGATAGATTTTTGCAAATATGTCGCTTTATTCATTGTGCTGATAATACACAAATTGATGCTAAAGATAAGGCTTGGAAAATTAGACCTCTTATGAATATGATAAAAAATAAGTGCTTAGAAAATTTTGTACCTCAAAAACATCTTGCTTATGACGAATCAATGGTGAAGTACTTTGGTAAGCATGGATGTAAGCAATTTATTAGAGGTAAACCAATACGATTTGGTTACAAAATGTGGTGTGTAAATACGAATGACGGTTATCTTGTAAATTTTGAATTGTATCAAGGCAAAGATCCTCGTGAAAACGAAAAATATAATTCTATATTTGGAAAGGCAGTATCACCTCTTATTTTAATGCTTGAAGACTTACCCAATTCTAAAAAAAAATTACCTTACTCATTGTACATGGATAACTTATTTACTGGGATAAATGTTTTTAATTATTTCAAATATCTGGGTTACTCAGCGATTGGTACTATCCGACAGAATAGAATACCAAAAAATTGTCCTTTGACCGACAAAAAAAAATTTTCAAAAAAAGAACGCGGAAGTTTTGAAACCGCAATAGAAAAAAATGAGGGTATTTTGTTGGTTAGGTGGATGGATAATGCAGTTGTTACAATGGCTTCCACTGATGTCGGCACCGAAAAAGTATCTAGTGTAAAAAGATATTCACAAAAACATAAAAAACATATAAATGTAAGTCGCCCCAATCTTGTTGCGCAATATAACCAGTATATGGGCGGAACTGATCAGATGGATCAAAACATAGCCACTTATAGAATTGGGGTGAGAGGTAAAAAATGGTGGTGGCCAATTTTTACTTGGCTATTGGAAATTCCAATGAACAACAGTTGGACTTTGTACAAAAAAGCTAACTCTAAACAAATTACTCAATTGGATTTCCGCCGTGAATTAGTTCAAACATATTTACAAAGATATGGTATAGCTCGAATAGGTGCAGGGAGACCTTCAAGATCTCTGTCATCATCCGACAGTCGTATTTCCGATGATATTAGATATGATCGTATGGACCACTTAGTTTCATATACTCAAGAGAAGAAAAGAAGGAGGTGTGCAAAAGATGGCTGTAAATCAGTAGGACGGACAATGTGTGTCAAATGTGACGTTGGACTATGTATAGATTGTTTCGTGAACTTCCATAAAAAATAAATTTGATTACAACTATTCAGTTTTAATGTAATATTTATAATTATAATTATGCAATCATTGTTAAAATAATACAATTGATTTCGTCAATAATAATTGGTTGTTGAAATTGTATACCTACTATAACGATATTTATTTGTAAAAAAAATATGATGATTTTAAAATAGGTAGTATATACTTCTAGCGTTACCATATGGTCACGGAACTTATCTTAAAAACGGGGTAAAAAAAAAAAAAAAAAATTATAGACAATTATTATATAAGTACGTAAGGTGACCTTTTAATCAAAATCAACTTCAAATTAAAAAAAAAAAAAAATTCCGGACTTAATGGGTTAAAAGTGCAATAGAGTTCTATTAATATTGATGACTGATTTATCAATCAAAATCCTGAATAATAATTTAAAACTGTATATACAAGTATAACGAGATAATTATACTTAATTCTATGTTTAGCCATTAATACGTATATTAAAAAGTAACTATAAATACCTACAGGCTACAGGTAATGCATGATGAAATCGGAGCATTAGGGATTTTAGATATTGATGAGTAATGATTAATTTAATAGGTATCTGTAGTAAACCAACGATTTACATAATATAGTCATGTTTTGCGTTTATAAGTCGAAGACGATGCATGCGGGCATAACGTCCTTTCAAAGTGAAAGATAATATTATTACACGTTTACCGTGATATCATGTATTCATGATATTCATCAATGATTGAATGTGACAACTAACAATAGTAACAATCAATAATTGAATAGTTTTCTACATTGCGATATAACCTACATCGAATTTTCATGTATAAAAAAATAGCTTTATAACCATATCGTTAGCTATGCTACATATTGCAACGTATAATAAAAATGTATAGATTTATTGGTAACTTTTTTATAGTAGACTTAACATTTTATACCGGATATTTTACCTATTATTATTATTATTATTCAGTTATAATACTACGTATTGTTATTTATATTCATGCTAAAAACAGATGACTTTAACATAGGTATTGTATTATATTAGTGAATACTAAAGTGGTAATACATATTAACTCTTCATAATCGTTTATTAATGGAAAAATTGATCGATAATATAATACTTTTATCTAATATTATAAATAAATTAAGCACAATTATGATATAGCTATTTTAATTACCTGTAAGACTTCCCAAGTCGGTGACAACGATAACGAGAGTGAACTCTGAGGACTGGTCGGTTGTGGTATGCCAATAGGCGATGAGGCTTCTGACATCTTTGCACTCCATATCAATTCCTGTGTACGAAAAAAAACAAACAGTTTTTCATTAAATAGAAAATACAAAAACTATACATACAAAATACAACGAACACGTTAATACTACAGATTATTAGCAATTATGCGTACAGGTTGATTATTTTCAACACATAATTGAAGTGAAAACTCATCAATCATTTCACAATTTTAGGTCTCAGTGAATATTTATATAATGTGTAAAAAAAAGTTTCTAATATCCATTCAATATCAAAAGTATATTATTATAACTCGAAAAAATTTTTTGAAACTTATCAGTTTTTAACATGGTGTTTGTAAGATTATTAATCGATATTTTTAATCTTCTATTATTGAAACTATTTTCTTTGACCCATGCCTAATATAATATAGTGAATATTTCGGTTTATAATATGTGTGCGTAAAAAAATGTTCGATTATGATTGCGTACCAGCTAGCTCTCTACGTGTTGTGATAGCCCATAATACGTTGGTATGTGGGTATATAACATTGCGAAGAAACGCTGGAAATAAGTACACACGAGGATTCAGGAAGCTATAAGTAGGTGCAAAAGAAAAATTTTCCGAGTCAATGACGGTGTAAATAAAAAAAAATAATAATCCAGATATAAACATAAATGCACCTATATAGTACAATGTTATTAATATTAATAAAGAACAGTCGTTTGCAGTTTGTTGCCGCCATCGCATCACACGTCGTCGCTACACACCGATGCTAATAGCGATAAAAGTCGAGCTTAAGCCCGAGGGTCGACACAATGTGATGTGTAAAATACTCGACACATATTCAACATTGTATAATACACATATATGTATACGTATAGTATGTATGTACGTTTCTACATATATCTACACGATCGTACGCGTCCGTCCTTCCAAGTGTGGGTGTTTGTGTATGTGTGCGTAAACGTATAATACGGTAAAGCCAGAGGGCGTCTTTGACGTCCGCGAACAAAGGGTTCGATTGCTGCTAAAACCCGCGAGGACCATGTGGTCCGGTTCTCACATCAAAACGTCCGCGCATAGGGGGGGGGGGGCTGACTCATCGCGCGAGTGCGCACTCCTCCGCCGCCGTCGCCGCAGTACTATCCTCTTCCGTCGCGCACTATCGGTCCACTCGCCACGCCGGCCCCTCATCCCGCTGCTGCACAGTATAATATTATATCAGGACGACACACACACTCCTTTAACTGCTGTGTTTAACACATGTCCTTATTATTTACAGTATGCACGTATGCATATAGATGTACGTATCTATAGCCACCGTGCTAAATATTTCTACATTAGCGACTGAAATTCGCAATACTTGAAATGCAAATGTCGCGGCTCTCGGCTTATGCACATATACCTACGCATTTATCCATATACCGTAGAAACCGTTTTTAATGACTCCGGTTGTATAGTATTGACATACCGAGTTTAATAAATAAAACAATAATAATAATAATATACAACTATTACAATTTACGACTAAGTCTAATTAAACAAATGATATAAGATTAAAACTAAAATCATAAAAAACCAAAAGTGGCAACAATTTGGTAATTTATGATTTAATTGTTATTAATTTTTTGTTTTGTTTTTTATCAATATTCAGGGTTGGTCATAGACACAGACTTAAGTTTCATTCTATAGCATTCGCATTGGCTTAGTAATTTTTTTCAATACCTTCTGTAAACTTCTTTATAGTGGGCATACTATTAATACTTCTACTAAATACATAATGGTTTGTCCTCGACCGCAACTAAATATAAAGGAAAATTCATTTTTTCCCCAATTGTGTGATAAGTAATTGCATCTTCCTGGCTCGGTTCTGATTCGGTTAAGGGTGGTCCATAACTCATAGGGCAGGTGGCAAGTTTAAATCGGGTGTTTTTACTGTTGGGTCTTCGATCAGAGTGATAAATTTCGTTTCAAGGACTCTAACCATATCTTTTTCCATTTAATCTGTGGGTCATCATCATACGTGATTTCTTCTCATAGATGGTGTCTAGATTTAATCTAACCCGGCCATACCGGGTTTAATGACCAAAAATTAAAGACATTGGAAAACTCTCACGTTTTATATGATAAAAATAAATCAAAAACAATTAACATTTTTATAAACTATTGTAATCCGTATTCGGTATATCATTATTAAACGTAAACTGATGTTTGTCTATAACATTAATCCGTGTTAATATGTGTTGTCCGTTTATAAAAATGTGACTTTAAATTTTTTCCCCCATTAGACAATTTTAACCCGTATGATATAGATTATTATTATGAAATAACACATGTGAACATGACTAATACGGAGAGGGGGGCACGGACTTCTTTAAAACGCTCCCGGAGCTTGTATAGGTATCATACGATGATGCGTTTAAAAAAAAATATGCGACGCGTATATAATATAGCCAATACAGATGTATTTTAGTATTTACATAGTGATTTCGTTTACCTGACATTTTTCGGCCGACATGAGTATCTGTAAAAGCCCGGGTGGCGGCGGCGGCTGTTGTTGTCCCAAGAACACGTGTCCTTGCGGCGGCGTGGGAGGCAGAAGCGTGGTTGGCGGCGGTGGCTGCTGTTGTGGCGGAGGTGGTGGCGGCTGCTGTTGCTGCTGTTGATGATGGTGATGGTGTTGCTGCGACGGCGGCAACGGCGGCAGGGCCGTGTCCATTGGCGTTTTCGGGTACGCCGACGAAGTCGTCTTTTGGATAATGTTGTTATGGTCGGCGCTCAGCTGGATTTGGCCGGGTTGCCGCTGGTGGTTGGCGGTGGGCTGCGGTGAGTCTTTCATCGGGTGGTGGTGGTGATGGTGGTGGTGATGGTGCAACTTTGGTTTGCGCGGTCCTCGTTCGTGTTGCACCGCTGTACACACATCATTATATATAATATTAAAATATAAGTATAACACCACAATACCTTTGCCATAAGAATAAAGTCGCGCGTCATTATACGTATCCTGCACATCACCCCATGCAGTATAATAATATTACGTTTCACGAGAAGGGGAGGGTGTATATTGTTAAGGAATAACCGAGGTATTAAAGGGAAGCTAAACAAAAGGAAAAAAGAAATTGTTGCATCTCTATTAACACATGAGTAGTATTCATGGTCGAAAGTTTAAATATAAACTCGCGGTGTAAATATCATATACAGTGAAACCGTTTCTAATCTACACCTCCAACAGTGGACGTTTTTTAGAAAACGAGAATCTTTTCATTATTTTTCAGTTAAAAAACCTCCGAAAAGTTACTTATTTTAATCTTAATTTAAAAATAGTGACAAAACAACGATAAAAAACACGCTTACATTACTATAATGATAAGTGATAACAAACACATTCAAAAGCTGATATTTTTCACACCAAATTTAATTGTATTTATCTATGAATGTATACATTTTTTGTTTTTAATATTATGTTTTGTTTTTCTATATTCATTTATATATGAATTGTTAAATAATATTTAAATTATTACATCATTAATATATAATATCTCAATATTATTTTTGTAGCATCTTCTAAAAACAATAATACTATTATAATTTAATTTAACTTGCCACATATTTTTAATTAATATATTTACCATTTATTTTATTTTTTATTATTTACCATCTTTGAATAGCGGATGAAATTTTGGTAATTGAGAGTAACCGTTATTCGTAAATTTCAGTGTATATAATTTTAACTTTTAAGTAATTGTTACTATCCACGTAATTTTAATTAAATATGTCAATATCTCATAACTAATAATATACATACATTTTTTATCGTTTTGATATGATATATGTTTAAAAATAGTTCTAAGAAAAATAATTAAATATAAAGAAGCACTTAAAAACTACTTATGGTTGTGAATCCTGATGCTGCATTAATTATTATTCGTCAATATCTATAATTATTAAATCAATTTTAATTAAGGTTCTTATTTTTCAATAAAATTCTAATCAATACACTTCGTCGTTGTAATAATTAATAATTTTCAAGCTCTATTTACTCAAAATCCAAATTACATATGTCCACCGTGTACCATTTTATTTAACATTTTGATTTTACAAATTTTATTTTAGAAACCATGTTTCACCACGATATATCGTTCACGTTATTTTTTAATTTCTATCAGTCATATATATGCAGGTTAAGCTGCACGAAAATCACTGAAAATTGCACGTGCCATAGCTTTTGTTTTGGTTTAATATGCTTAGCATTTTTTTTTTTTTTTTTTTTTTTTTTTAATCTGAGCTTTTCGAATAATTTATTTTCACGAATTCGCTATTATTTATTATTATAATTTTTATTTGAAATCGGATTTGAGCAACAAAAAAACATTTTGTAAAAATGTTCATTTAAACTCAGTTTATGATATTCAAATACCTGAAAGCAATAATAATAATTCATCATCGGATTACACATTTACACTATACACGTTGATATGTTCGAGGGTTGTTCAATTGTTCACGGATATTTACTGCTGATTGAAAACTGTCTCCCCGTTTATAGTTCCCATTGTCATCCAAGTTCTTTTATTATCATACACAAATATAATACGGTGAGTGTACCTATATATCAATATAATATTTTCTAAATCACCTGCAGTTCATCGGGAAACGTCCTGCACTTCAATATCTTGCTAGTTTTATATTCAAACACTTTATTTTATTATTTTTATGCATATTCTCCTATTTATTGTTATTATTTTTTCAATCAAAATTAAATTACCTACATTTCACCATCTGGTTTACAAAATCTTGTAACATGAGAAACTTTGTGATTTTGCAAATTTGTCACGCTAAACGAAATCCGACAATATGGTGAGGCCCAGATGATTTATTTTTATGTTTAACTCAAGAAAACAACCCGTATGGAATAAACCTTTCTTTTTATGTATTTTTTTTTTTTTTTTATCAAATAATCCCGGCTACGTTGTACCTTTTTGATCCACGGATATTCAAAACGAACATTTTTGTTGTTTCAGCTAACGATCTTCAGACATACGGGCATTTTATTCAATTGGTTTTTGGCCGAAACAACTTATTTATAAACATATTTTTCTGCGCTATAAAAATTATTTTAGATTATTTCAATCTGCTGTACATAGATTGCTTATTGGAATTTTATATGCATAGAATTTAAATGTGCGAATAAAAAATAATACAATCTATACCTATAAGTTTTTATCATCAATTATTGTAATTCAATTCAAAATTATTATTAAATTATCAAAATTTCTTAGTTATTGAAATAATAATATTAACGTAATAATGTATGTTTTTAAATTGTTATTTATATAATATTATTTTTGATAATTCACATTTACAATAACGTCCATTGTATATATAGACCAATAGTCTTGACTTTATAATATAATGTAATTATTTATTTATTTAAAAAAAAATATATATATATATATATTATTGATTTTTCGATAACAGTTATTTTTATAGTTGTTTTATATCAAATATTCAAATCATTCTTAATTAGACAGGCACACCGAAGCTTAAATATTGAATGTAGGTATCAATATAATTTATTATTTCATCTTATTTATTCTTTGTAAAATCGTATTCGTTTCGCAATTACATAGGCACATACACCATAATGATCGAGCAAACATTGTATAAACGAAGTTTATTTGTATATATACCTACATCTTATTTTTCTGTTACTACTTCAATTGAGTATAGAAAGGAAACCACCCCTTTAATATTTATTTAAATGGCTATCGTTTCCTGAATTGCATATTTGAATTGCATCAAGTCATTGACCCCCTCCTGTCTATTTTACACTTGTTTTTCCGTTGGTAAGTCAGTTAATCCAGCTATCAGCTGTCAAAAACTCACACGTATGTATTCCAGCCTGTAATCGCCAAATACAACACCCACACAGTCACACATACACATGCGTGAAAGGGATATATTATTTACGGAGGGGTGCGCGAATAGCTGGAGAATTTTCAATGAAGACCGAAAATTGGCTACGCTGTTCTGGAGCTGTAGCTTTTTGCACAAAACGCGGTTCATTTATCAAAGGCTGAGGAGGGTAAGGAGAAAAAGAATTAAAGAGCGAGGAAATAGAGTTAAGAGAGAGGTTTTGCTTGGCGTGATTGAAGACTTCGCGTTAACGACATTATAAACTAGGCATTTTGTTTAGGGGTGGGTCATTATTCAACACCCGAGAAATTAGACGAACGAGAAAAAAAAAGATGCAAGAAAATCTTTAGTCAGCCCTTAACGATTAGTGGATGGCGGTCGAATGTACAAAACAGCGAGGGAAACAGACGGTCAAAGCCGTCGGTTTACTCGTCGAAATCCGATGTTAAATTATTATAGTATCTTTATCACTTTCTTATTCTACATAGTCGACTATTTTCAGTAGTAAATTTCTAAGTTGTTTTTTGATGTCTACCGATTTAGAATTTATAATGTTATAAAATATATGAACATTAAAAAAAATAACTTAAATTTAAACCCTATTATTTCTACAACCCATTATAGTGTATAATATATTGCACCTTTCTATAGTTAATGTTTGAGATGGCCAATTAGTAAATAATCAAGATATAATGCATACTTATTGTATTATTATTTTTTTTTTTTGCAATCTCTGAAATTATGTTAAGATTAAAAATAACTTTATAAGCAAAATAATCAATACTTTTTTATTTAAAATGTAATAAATATACACTAAATAGTGGATACCTACTAACACTTTTTAAAACTCCAATGTAAAGACTTAAAGAGTGATACATTTCTTAAAATATATATAATATACGAATTAAATTGATATATTATATATATTATATTAATCTTATCTACTTGCAGATTTTAGAAAAGTTTTCTTGAATCATTATAAAATTTTATCAAAAACTTTATTATAGTTTGTATAATTGTATTAATTTACATACTAAGAAATTCTATTAAATACTCATTTAAATTATTTTAATATGGTTCTATGTATGCTGTATGCACATTGTATATATAATGTATGATATATAGATACACGTTTCAACTTTTCAAATATTTCATAATATACATTTTATTATATAATATGTTACGTGAAATTAATTCAAAACCAAAATGCGTTTTCCCGAACATTAAATATAATGTAAACACGACGCGATGCTACTGATTTTATGATCTGTCACGGTATAGCACCGCAAAATCGTGAACACGCATAATATTAGCAGTTTTGTCGGAATACCGTTGAAGTAGCTTCTGCGGTGTTTCTATCGGTTGTTTATATATACACGTATAATATATATTTGTACACTCAAGAAAAGATACCACCGACAAAATAACTATTAAATAACAATTACTTTGACAGAATACACTCTGTTTGGGGAATGAACAAAAATGACTGAAGATGTGTACATTTGTATGATAACACGCATATAATCAATATTATAACAGAATAAATAACATACATTATATCATAATATAGAAGTGTACACAAACATTCTGCGTTGTAAAAACTTCAGTACCGCGTGATGAAAATGTTTATGTATATATACAAAGGGTGAAATCGAGCATAATATAATATCAATTTTGACACGAACTCACCGTCCTTGTTCATCGCCGACTGAAAACACTTGTTGAGTCGACAAGCCCTACACTGGTTTCTGTGGGTCTTGTCAATGGGGCACCTGCCTTTGAGTTCGCCTTGTGCCTTGCACGTGTACACCCGGTTCCGGTGGATGCTCCTTTTGAAAAACCCAGAACAACCTGCAGCACAATACATGCAATGGCATTTGTTAGTCTCAAACCATTAGTATATTATAAATATTAAAAGAAAATTGTCTACGGTTCTTACCGTCACAACTATAAATGCCGTAATGTTTGCCAGAACTTCTATCCCCACAAACTTTGCACGGGATATCCAATAATCGATCTCCTATTAATAAAATAACAAATATATTTCAATTTACAATAAAATAAACATAATATGTTATTGATACATAGGAAGCATAATTCGTCTATTTTTTTTTTCATATACACTATTTAATATTTATATACTTACGTAAGTTCGATATACATATATATTAACAATATACGCACATATAGATGTATTATTTATAAGTAAATCTTTACAAAATAGTGTGTGTACGATTCGTACTGAATATGTGTATAAAATATCTATGAACCAATATTACATATGATAAAATAATATAGTAAATAGATTGAAAAAATCGGGATTAAAGTATCGCACTTATATTAATAATATTTACATTCTACAAATATTGGTCCCATTTAAAATTATAGTGTAGAAAATAAAATAAAAATCTAAATAATTGAATATAAGGAATTATATTTACTATACATCTAAAAAGTGTTAATCACATACGTATTCGTAATATAATATAATGTATAATATAGAGATATAAATATCGATGTAACCAAGCATATAAGTCTTTTTGGTTATTGTGTACCCAAATATAATGCAAAATAATAAATTTATTTTTTATACTATGATATTGGTATTCGATGTCGATATCATTTATTATGATACATTTATGTGTATTAATGTAACGATATCGATACTAAAAAAATATCGTACCGCATCATCATCGCTATAGGATGCAATATAAGAGTAGAATACATTCTTGTATAGTTGTATATTATGTATCTATATTTATTATTGAATTGTAGGTCGGTAAACAAATCATAAATGATTTGGACATATGGTCGCAATAAAACCGGCAAAATTCACTACTGAAAAATAATAATATTATGTTATATAAATAAGCTGATTGTCCTAGATTTTCTAACTTTGTAAAATGTAAAGTGATAAACTATTAAGAATATTAAATAACAGTTAAGAAAAACAGTATTTTAAAAAATTACCTTTACCCGTTTATTTAAACTGTTATGGGTTTAGTCTTATCCCTACTTATAATTTGATTACAAAGAATACCCGAATCATGAAACACCTAAATTAATTTAAATGTTTTCTTTTTTAAATTATTTTTCCCTTTAATCAAATACCGAAAAAAATTTAGTTAATACATAAAATTACCAATTAATAGCGTTTATTTTAAAGGACTTTCAATGTTAGTAGTTGTACCTCGACTTTCCAAGACTTAGATTCGAAGCTGGAAAATGGTTATATATATAAGCCATGTATTTCTGCAATAGAGGATGATTTGGTGATGTGGTTAGTCGCGCGTGAACTTTGCGACTGCGTTTTAGGCGGGTCCCTCGTCAGTTGATGGTTGAAAAGTTGTGGGTTTGGACACCTTTATCATGCTATATGCGTGTTGTGTAACGTTAAAAAGTGACGCTTTGGAGCTTTTACGACCTTTCATGTATATATATACATAATATTATATAAGGCGATATATGCTGTACTCGACCGTAAATGACGCGATCGCTGATGTATATATATATATATTATATACACTCTCTTGCGGCGGTGGCGTGGAGGGATTTAAAAGTTGGCGTGATGGGCTTATATATAATGACGTATACGTATAAGTGCGGCGATATACATCGCATGGGAGACGATGATGACGACGACGACGACGACGACGACGAATATGAGCTCGGCGTGTGGTTTATTAATGAGCTTGTTTCGAAATCCGCTTATGTATACCACGCGCGCGCGTCAAGTGTCTTTTACAAAACTGTATACCAACTATTTACGTAAAAATGTTATCCATAGAGTACTTTTTTAAATACAGATAATTTTTGCCCTTCAATATTGTTTAAAATAAATTTAATTTAGGTTAATAATTATATTTTCATGTAAATACGATAAACGTGAAAGTAGCTTGGTCATCTTATTTGTTGCAATTTCGTGGATTAAACGGCTAAACTAATTTTGATGAAATTTGGGATGAAGATAGCTCAAACGTTCAAAAAGGATTGAGGTCACCTTTTTTTTTAATCAACCCTTAAAAAAGGGTTTAACCAAACTAAATAAATATTCTAATGTAATTAAAAGTCAACAAACACAATTAAGAATGGTTTTTTAGAAATTCCATCCTTAAGAGAGCGAAAGGAGTGACAAGTTTTAGTTTTTAGCGATAATTTTGACTATGAATATTTTTCATTATTTTTTATAGGTAAGCATTAATAAATTAAATAAAAAAAGTTGTTTTTTTTTAAATTTTACAATAGCCCTGTTGAATTGAGTAGTTGTTTGGCATATGGTTATTATTTCTTTGTTTCTATAAAATCATTTTTATCTTTTTACTTGAAGTTTAGAAGTTGCAATACTTACTCATCATGATAATAAATAAACAATAAAACTACTAGCTGATATGATGTGAACGAAGCTTCGGAAAATTTTCTAATATAAACATACAGTTAACCGACAAGTATTCGCTATTTTTCCAGTACAAGCTTTAGCTTATATAGACAGTGATTTAATATTGACGGCTATATATAGATACTTAAATAAGTATAATTATTGTACGAATAAGTAGTATAAAAGAATAAACGTAATATTTACTGATTATTTTACTGTTGCCACAAAGTTATATTATAACTACACGCCAATGCCTATATGTGTGTGTATAAATACGTCACGCGGAGGTGCTTTGCGCTTAACTTCTCGGAAACGACACAGCAGACGATTTTTTTTTTCTGAAAGTGTATATAATATGATCCCGTGTATATATGTGCGCCTCGAGGCCGGAAACTGCAGTTGTGACGACGACGGCTAATGGATGTCGGAGCGCTAATAAAAGTATCTGCGCGTGTTATGTAGATGTAACGCAACCGCCACCACTGCCGGCGCGAGGCCGTTGTTGTGAAAAAGCTATACGCGTCGAGTACATTACACGCAGCTGTGCCGCGTCGCCTTCGGCCGTTTAGCGGCGACTATATACGACCAACTTTAGTCGCGCGATCGGTCTACGGTCGAGCGTTTATACCGTATTATATATATTATTTTATATATGTGTATATATATATATTGCTGTTGTAGTTATATTGTGTGTCAAAACTTATTCGAAATAATAATAATAATAATAAAACATGTTACAAAAAGCTAATATATAATAAAAATTATAACAAAATTTGGTTATCACGTTGAGTTCTATCATTAGTTGGCCTCAATCATGATATTATTTCACAGTTAAAATATATAATATTTAATAATTATCATATTTGCTTATTATGCTTATTCCAACATAGATTGTAAATATTATTTTATTAATAAAAAAAAAATATATGTATAGATATACAAACATATCATATTATGATGGGGAAGGGATACCATATAAGTTGTTTTTGGTTAGAATAAACCTAGAAATTAAAGTTTGATATTGTATATATATATTAATAATTATGATTATACGGCGTGAACCAATTTATAATATCAATCGTCTCTTTCTGAAGTTATTTTAAAATGAAAAATATAGTTAGGAATATAATTGTTTTAATCAAAGCCCTCAAACATGTGCTTCACAAATTTATTATTATGTATAATTTCAAGTTGATTTTGATGGTTTATTTAAATAATTAATACATTGAACATTTGTTAATTCGTAAAATGTTTTTAATTGTCGTCTACTTTTTTTTTTATACGATGGCAATGAATAATTATGATGTCAATTGCAAATTTGCAACAGCGGTACTGAGCCCGGGTTATACCAGTATAAGTAATTAGAATTAGATTTATATTAAATACGCTCGTGACACTTAGTATGTATATATTATATAAGCATTTTTAAGGTGAATTTCTAGCACACTCATCTAATATTTCTAATTTCAAAATTATATAATAATTAATATTCATTTATTACAATCTATCAGTTTGTAATAATTATCCGAATATAATCAGAATTGAAATTAATATTTAATATTTAATTTTTAGTAAAATTATTTTTAAGAGCTAATATAATTATCTTTAGTACATGTGACGTTAAGTATCTTAGAAACTACTCATCTAAATTTTGATTTAGATGCTTAATTTTTTTTTTTTTTTAAATCATCAAATAAACGCCCATTTACATTTAAAAATGGTGGTTCTTATTAGAAAAAAATAAGTTGATATCGTCACAGATTATTCCATAAATGGTAAAAAAACTAAATATTTATTTAAAAATATAGTTTAATTAAGTATAAATTCTAAGGCACAATTTTTAAATATATTTTAGCAAATTTTAACATAATTAAAAATAATTATCATTTGAAAAAAAAAAAAATAATTAAAATTTAAAATTTTGATGCTTTTAATTTTAATATTAACTTTAAATATTTCTTAACAGTATTTTACAAATTATAATTAAAAGTAAACATCATAGATTCGCATTTATTGTACGAAAACAATATTAATATACATTATACATAATATTTGTATAATTACTATTTACTAGGTACATAAAATATATTATGTATTCAAACTAAAATAATTCAAATAGTATCCAATTAAATATAAATTAATTGAAAAAATACCTTACTAAAACATAATTTAAGATTTTAATGGATTACACTATTTATAAAATGTTGCCATTAAAAACTTCTTTTAGGGTTATGCTAAGTAAAAAATTCTGGATATTTCTGGATATTATATAAAATTATCTTAAACCTAGATGTAAAATTTACATGAATAAATAGATGGTTCCTGATAAAACAGATTAAACTTAGTTATATAGAATGAGGTATAATCTATTTATTTTTTCAGTTATCTTCAATTAACTTCCTTACAATTTCAGCAAAGACATTTAATATTAATGGTCTATAAGGTCATTCAGTTGAAATTGGAAACCGGGTGAATTTAGTGCTCTTAAATAATGCTGTTAAATAATAATTGATTAAAGACTTAACTTTTTTCTCTTCTTCGTTTATTTATTATTTAACTTAAAAAAGAAAAAAAATAGTTTTTTTTTTAAGGCTTTTCGAACTTTGCGCGATCTGAACGAGTAGCCGTTTAAAGTTTTTTTTTTGTGTTCACCTTTTGAACGGGATACCTAATCTTCTCCGGGCTTTTTGAGTTCAATCGAAAAAGAAAGGCTTAAGGTTTCAACGATACAAAAAGGTCAACAAAACTTTTCAATAATAGAGATTATGATGTGCTTTCAATCCTTTTAAAAAGGGGGTCGAATGGTTCTAAGAACCAGGCGCAAGTGTATTTGTCCGCAGGATCAACTGATTATAAAAAATTGAACTGTGGAGTAACGATTTCAAGAGAACTTATTTTCCGAATTATAAGGATTTATTATCAAAACTTTCAGCATTATAATATATACGATTATATTTTGTAAAAGTTGAAAAGTATAATATAAGTAATCAAACTCGGTATGTTCAGAATACTACATTATGTTGTTTAATCTGTGCATTAAGCATTACAAAGTTTATTCACTCAAACTCACAAAAATATAGGCATATAATATGACGTGTTGTTTTATTTTTAGTTATCCATTAATATTAATATCCAATATTAAATTATCAATATTGTTTAAAATAATAAATTTTGATATGCTATACTTAATTTAACATATAATATTTTTACAAGTTACTATAATTTCATATTTTATAAAAATATATGATCTTAATACTTGCACACCTATTATAGAAAACCAAATTTTCAAAAGGTATTAATAATATAATGTACGCAGATTATTTATTTTCCAACATAATTACACAATTTTGTAAACATTACAATAATGTAATAATTGTAATATTCAAGATGTTATTTTTAAAAACAATTAAAAACACAGCAATTCTTGATTTTTATACTCATAAAAAGTAATTTTATAGCAAAATTGTTATTTAAACAAAAGGTTGCTTCTTTAAAACGTGATTATACTTGAATTATGTCCAAACAACAATAATGACCCAAGTGCACAAAAGTTTCTTGCTTAAATCATTTTATCATTTTTTTTAAATTGATTTTTTATGTACATAAAGACTTTATGTATACCAGTTAATTATACTTATAACAACATAGAAAGACGTAAAATCAATTTAAGGTTTTTTTTTTTTTTTATATTGACAAAAGTTACTATAAGTTTAACTTTTTGATCATATTTTTTTAAACTAATCATCTTTTAAATAAAATTTCAAAAGATAATAAATTATGATATACATAGGTCGTATCTATTCGATTTTTGTGTAATTTATTTTAGTTTATTTCAGTAGATTAAAATATAATTAATTGATTATTATAATTTATAACTTGAGTATCTTGTGTAAAGATAACATTTATACCATTTATAGCTTCAACTATATAATAATTAGAATCTATTGATGCACATATAACTTTTTAACTTTTTATAAAGACGATTCTGTGTTGTATCCATGACAAGGTAGTTCCGAAACAAATAATTCAATTATAAGAATAAAACGTTGTAAAGTATCTATATGCTATTTTTCAATTTTAAATGTATATTATTATTTTTTAATGCACATTTTAGTATTTAAAAATAAATTTTAAATTGTTTTAAATTTTAAATATTTATTATTACAACATATACTTTTGAATATAAATTGTGCAAAATTAGATGTAAAACCATAAATAAAATATATTAACTAAAATTAAAATGCATATATATTATATCATTATTAGAATTATTAAATTAGTTACGTATTTCTATAATTAAATTTATATTTTCGTTATTTTTTTAAAATTAAACTTATTTGTCATTTAAAACATACATTTTTATATTTGTACATGAATGATAAAATATGAAATAACCAAGTTTAAACATAGTTATAGTTAAATAATAATTAACATTATAATATATTTATCCTATTTAATATTTTACTATTTACTAATAAACTATACATACATATTTAACTTCAAACAAAATACAGTTAAGAAATTCTAATCTTCTAACAATATAAATTTAAACCTATTTATAAACTATATGTACATTGTATAGATATTTAATTATCTGTTATATTGTTATTCTACCTTATAGTTTAATGCGTCAGTAAAAATGAATAAAATCTGAGTAATTTATGAAATTTTTATGTATACATCATAAATCTGATAAAGTTATATTCGAATAATATTTCCGTTAGTATGCATTTAGTTATTACTATTATATTTAGCGTTTATTGAAAATAAAAAAGAATGTATAGGCAATATTTTCAATTTTTTTTTTAAAAACTCTTACACTGCTATATTGTATATTTGTATAATAAAATTAGTAAGTAAACAATACTTTTTATCATAAAAAATATACTAACTAAATAATATAATATGTATCTATTGTAAATTAATATTATATATACTAGTATTATCAGGGAACTAGCAGGGGTGGTATATTTATGATTGTAGAGATATAGTTGTACCTTATACGACTTTAAATCATATTATTAATGTCGAATGAACACAAAATGTTCATAGAGAAAATATAATTACATAAATAATAATTTTTTTTTAAATTCTCTCTAATTTTTAAAAGTATAAAGAAATAAAAAATATATTTAAAAAATATTCTAATTATAACTTATCGTATTTTACATAGTTTTGGTTAGGCACCTGTACAGAGTGTATCAAAATATAACATTTAAACGCAATTTTAGTGTTAATTTGCCAAATAATCTAGATACATATACCTTTTATACACTCTATATATATTTGATCATTACTGTTCAAAAATATACGTACTTAAGTATTTAAAATAAATAAATAAATTTAAATTTAATTATTTATATTGGTTTGTTTGTTTTAGATATGGACGGATACTTAACGAAATACAAAACATCTGACGTATCATTTAATACAAAATTATACCAAATCATTAACTTATTCTTTAATAAATTAGTTCAATCAAAAAAAATGCATAAAAATAAAAGGCGAGTATCTTTACTCGTCTTAAATGATCACAGATCGTCGCGAACTTATTATACGAAACGGAAAAATGAATAATTTTATAAAAAAGCGACATGACGTGTATATTTATAGCTGATAAAATTGTTTTACGGAATACATTATTATAACGAATTATGGATAATATTATTGTTATTATGTGTAAATAAGACGTGAACGTGACTTACCTGTTCCCATTATCCAAGTACGTCAAATCATATTGCGACGGCACCAACTCCGGTATAGTATAGAACTGTGATTCGAAATGTCACGGAAATCTAAAAAAAAAAAAGTCCAACGGATATCGTATTTTAAAACAAAACTTTCATTGCATAATATTATATCAACGTTGATCAATCGTCGGCATAATATATTGAGTACACATATAGTTCGGCAATAATTATTTATAAAATAATAACATTGTGATTTGTATTAACTACATGAAAAAAAAAACTAAAAATACGTACGTCGTAATATTGTACCGTTAACTTGCGGCGGCGGCGGCGCGCGGATGTGCGTGAGTGCGGTACGTTGGTGGCAGTGACGGCGCAATGGTAGTTTGACAGTGGCCAGGGCCAAGAAGCGAATAGAGCGGTGTGCGGCTGATGCTGGTATAGTATATCCGGCGCGGCCGCGTAAATATGACGGCGGCGGCGGCGGCGGTGGTGGTGCCGTTACTAAGTCGGCGGCACAGGGCGGCGCTCAGCTAGTGACAATCGCGCGTATGTGTTGGTCCGTGGGCGTGTCCGGGCCCCGGCCACCGCGGGACCGGCCACCCACACGCCGGCGCCGGGTGGTGGGGGTCTGCGGTGACCGGCGTCGCCGCCGCGTAATATAACAACGTGTCAAACACGGCAAACCCCCGCGGCTCGTGACCGGTGGCCCTAAAGTTATTAATTTCGTCGTAAGCCCCAGTCCCTTTACACGCGCTGTATATCCTACCCACTCCGACCCCACTAAAAACACTGCTGCCCACACTCACATAATGTATATTATACGGGATGATCAATTAAACGTGTACAGTGTACACTCATTAATTCGGAAAACATTTATGTTTTTGAAAATATCTTTTATTCACAATTCTGAGATTTTATAAAACAAAATTTTTGAAAAAAAAAAATCATATTTTTTGCTTTATTTTATCGTTATAGTTTTAATTTTTTTGTCTCTTTTGAATAACACCATATATTTTGATTTAATATTCCTGAGCAGAATATTATTCCTCGTACTTCGATGTACAAAAATCAAAATTCAAAAAAGTAGCTTATTACTTATTAGATAAAACTTACAAGTATAATTTAAGTTTTGATAAGCGAAGTAGTGTGGACCAACATTTTATGGAGTAAGTACTCAAATACTACTCTCTTCAGTTCATCCAAAATTTGATTACTTATAACTCATAAACACTCGTTTTAAATTAAGTTCAAATATATCCAAGTATTCCAAAAAATATTTTGTTTTTGAATAAAAAATAAAAAAATGCATATTATTATTTATTATAACAGGTAAATATTTCAAACTTAAAGAACATATATTTTTTTTAGAAAAATGTTGTTTTTACGACTTGAAATTATGTAAAAACAATTATTCCAAAAACGTTATTATAGTTTTCGAAATAATGATAGTGTCTTTCGTTAAAAGGATCACCCGGTGTATAAATAAATAAATATATATATATATATATATATATATATATACTGCAACCCTTCGCGTACCCGCTAACGCCGCCGTGCAGGGCTTATTTGCTGTGGTCCTGGCAGATCTCTGACCCACTGCATATTATCCCCCACCGCTACCTATTATGCACACACGTTCCATCCGCTCGCGCGCACATGCGTGTGTGTGTGTGTATGTGATTTTGTGTTTGTGTTGTACGAAGAAATTTCACACGCTGTAGCGATTTCGATTAACCGGCGAACCACTACGTACCACTGCACCACGCCACACCTTAGATGGAGCTGGCGCGTAAACGTGTTACGCGGTACGTTTCCACTTTGTAACTTCATCGCGTATAATAGGTACATAAGACACCTATATGTATGTATAGCTATTATATACGTAAGCTCGCTAGTTTAGATAAAAGTAACGATATCAAACGGTATATACGTATACGTATTTTATAATATCATATAGGTCACAAGGAATTTTTCCAAGCCAATGACGGAATGCAACAGTAATCCCCATCCCCGAACCAGGAAAAAATCCAATTAAAAATACACTATGTGGAACTGTGCATAGTCTTGGAAAAATCATCAACTAGACATTCATCTGGTACCTCAAATCAACAAACCATATCTCCGACTACCAATGTGATTTCGGACGTAACCATACTACTATAGACATAACCTTTCCACACTACACGGCAATATCTGCACGGCTTTCAAGAGGAATCAACACTTAATACTAATCTCACTCGATTTACAAAAGCCGTATGGCATAGTTTGAAGAGGCAGAGTATTATCGATTCTCATGAAATGAGTTATTAGAGGCTACATAGTAAAGTTTCTGGTAAACTTTTTAACCAATCTTTCTTTCTGAGTGAAAATTCAAAACACAAATTCCAACCTACATTATATTATCAAGAACGGTGTTCTTCAAGGTTCAGCTCTTACCGTCACTCTCTTCCTGGTAATAGCAATAAACGAAATCGGTAACAATCTCCCTTTTTCTGTCAAATTTAAAATCTTTTCAGATGATTGAAACATATATTGCAGTGGAACAAATTTGGTAATATCTATACAACTGTTACAAGAATCACCACGGTCCTCAAGAACAGACTACATTTTTTCTCTTCTCCAAATACAAGACATCATATTATTCAACATGAATAAAAAACACTCTCACCCCTCAGATTACCAAGCAAGACTCCACTTCGTTACTCAGATACGTATTCGTTAATTCGTATTCGACTTATTTTTGATCACAAATAACAGCCTTATCTTAGTGTATAAACCATTAATAAATGTTACACTAACCAGACACGTCAAATTCGCGACCTGTGATTAATTTTTTGTGGCCCACAACTAACAATATTAATGAAAAAATAAAAAAAAATTATAAAATATTTATTTTATATCACAACTATATCTTAGAGAATGGTTTATTTGGTATACATTATTAAACTCTTTTATTTTTTGATAAATTATAATCAAATAAGTATTATTTATGGTTTTATTTATATGTATACATATATGTAAATATAAGATCAATAAATTATAGATTTATAACGTAGGTACGCAACACGCGGACCTCTTCTATTGTCAACATTTAATCTGGTCGTTCGAATTTTTTATACACATTACATACACTAAGTAAATTATCTATTTGTCACTCAAGAATTATTTTTTTAAGTCTAGTATTTTTTCCAAATTTGCTATACAAAATGCACTAAAATTTCACTCATATAGTCTTGTAACTAAATGGAATTAATATTTATATTACGGATAATATCCGTTTAAACCTGCTCAAGTGCGATAATAAAAATTACAAGAGTATCTTTGTATACCTATAAAAAATACTTGTGCAACTGATATTATTGTAGTATATTATACATTCATATAATTTAATTTTACTATTAATACCTATATATGATTTCAATTAATAGTTCAGTCGTTTAAATATTAAAACACGTTATTTTATAAACGTCTTGGTCAACGATCTTCATCTCAGCAATAAATTTACTCCCTTCAACCACCTTAGTTATAAATTAATATTTTTGATTTATAACTAAATAATAAGCGTTTTTTTATTATTTGAAACATTTGAATATAAATTATAAGATACTCTTTTTTTTAAATTTTTGAACATTATTATATCAAGTAAATATCATATAACAAATTGAATAAACTTTGAATTATATTATAAAAGGTATTATTTTGTTGGCGAACACCAAAAATGGTAGGTATAGTGATTTTTACCGAAATATCTTTTATGCGTTTATACACTAGTAGTTATTGACATTTAAAATTAGTGTTTATAAATATTGACTAGGTACACTTAAAGTGCGATGTATGTTATAAGATAATTAAGATGTTATCGTTCTTTCACAAATCACAATGTATAGGCACCTATTAAAACTTTTAATATGTGTTTGAAAAGAATGTTCAACTGTTATTATAATATTATCGTACGAGATAGTAAGCTTGATAAATGATAAACCGATTTCGTGACATTTGATTACTAAATATACCATTATTAGTATTAATGCGTATGCATATATTAAACGGAGCGCAATGATTTTTTTAACGCTGATAATTTAAATTTTGAATTTATTTTAAAGTTAACTTAAAAATGGAAAATAAGAAAGACATTATTTATGAAAATTTTAACAGAATTTTAATTTAAAGTATAAGAAAATAATTGTTTTTATTTAAATACTGAACAATATAATAAATATATAAGTGAAATAAATAAAGTATTAAGTACTAAAGAAAAAAACCAATAACCAACTAACTACAGGAGATTAAATAGGTTTGATATTAAAGTTGTAAGAATAGTTATAAATTAATTATTCAATTACAGTTAGATGAAACTAAAATTATTTATTATGTGAGAAACAAAGAATAATATGAAATTATGAAAGATACTCATATAAAAACTGGCTATAGAAGAGTGAACCTGAACGATGAGTGAATTACAAATACGTTTAAAAATATAGCATATGAATTTGATATATGTTCATTGCAAATTTAAAGCAAACATAAAATTCCGAAAAAAGGTTTTGTAATCAAACCTTATTATAAGTTATGAGCTGAATCTTCTATGTCAAGTAGACTTAGAAAATATTTTAACTTACAAAAGTGGCGAATTTAATTTTTTTTTAAATATATGAATAAAAGGAAAGATATTGCAATTAGAAAAGAACAATGGCACTAATTGGACTTCAAACACAAGCAATGCTCGTTGAATGTTCGAATAGTGAAGTATTTGTAAAAGTTGACAACATTCACCAAAATGATTAGAAAATGTCAACAATCACTGCAACACTGCTTTGATGGCCACACATTTTAACATAAAACACATTTTCGTAAATAAAATACTCCGTAACAGAAAATAAAGTTGTGAATTAAAATCAAATTTTAATAATTATTTTCATTAATCATCTATAGTAGGTAATGAAAAAGAAACATAAATTTAATTTGATATTGCATATTGATAAATTACATCTAAAGTTAGAATAAAAGTTATATTTTATGTACTTTTATACTTATATGACCCAGTTAAGCAATTTTTCTTTACCTAGTATATTTATTATTCATATTACATAATAACAATTAGATAATTATTATAATAACTAAACTATTATAACGTTTCAAAGAATTAAATAATAATAATTCCTATAAATATAGATACAGTAGATAGGTACCTACTATAATGACTCATAAGTCATTTTTATATAAATATTGTTCAGTAAATTTTCCTTCTTTGTTTGTATTGAAAAGAAAATGATCATCACATAATTTATAGAATGTAATACACTAACAATAAAAGGATTAATAAATTTGTTTTGTATTACAAACTCTGTCGGTAGGTCGTATTATAGGGGTGTATGTAATATACGTACAATAATGTATGTAGGTTGG